GTTTCTCATCATTGTGTCTCACTGTCGGACGGACGTTTCTCATCTTTGAATCTCACTGTCGGACGGACGTTTCTCCTCATTGAGTCTCACTGTCGGACGGACGTTTCTCATCATTGAGTCTCACTGTCGGACGGACGTTTCTCATAATCGTGTCTCATTGTCGGACGGACGAAGACAATGCAGCATATTTCTTAACCCCAGCAATCTTTGGGGAAGGATTTGTATTAATGTCAGATCTTTTGTTGAGTTTAATTCGTAATACTACTTGTCTAGACCCGAGGTGATATGATGTTGTCACTTGTTCACCAATGGCTGATTGTTTGTTAGTGTTGTCTAGACCCGAGGTGATATGATGTTGGCACTCCTCCAGCAATGGCTGATTGTTTGTTAGTGTGTGTTGTAGACCCGAGGCGATATGATGTTGGCACTCCTCCAGCAATGGCTGATTGTATGTTAGTGTTGTCTAGACCCGAGGCAATATGATGTTGGCATTCGTCCACCAATGGCTGATTGTTTGTTAGTTTTGTCTAGACCCGAGGCCATCTGATGTTGACACTCGTATACCAATGGCTGATTGCTAGTGTTGTCTAGACCCGAGGCGATATGATGTTGGCACACGTCCACCAATGGCTGATTGGTTGTTAGTGTTGTCTAGACCCGAGGCGATATAATGTTGGCACTCCTCCAGCAATGGCCGATTGTTTGTTAGTGTTGTCTAGACCCGAGGTGATATGATGTTGGCACTCCTTCAGCAATGGCTGATTGTTTGTTAGTGTTTCTAGACCCGAAGCGATATGATGTTGGCATTCTTCCACCAGTGGCTGATTGCTTGTTAGTGTTGTCTAGACCAGAGGTGATATGATGTTGGCACTCGTCCACCAATGGCTGATTATTTGTTAGTGTTGTCTAGACCAAAGGCGATATGATGTTGGCACTCCTCCAGCAATGGCTGATTGTTTGTTAGTTATGTCTAGACCCGACGCGATATGATGTTGGCACTTGTCCACCAATTGCTGATTGTTTGTTAGTGTTGTCTAGACCGAAGGCGATATGATGTTAGCACTCGTCCACCAATGGCTGGTTGTTTGTTAGTGTTGTCTAGACCCGAGGCGATATGATGTTGGCATTCGTCCACCAATGGCTGATTGTTTGTTAGTGTTTCTAGACCCGAAGCGATATGATGTTGGTACTCGTCCACCAATGGCTGATTGTTTGTTAGTTATGTCTAGACCCGAGGCGATATGATGTTGGCACTCCTCCAGCAATGGCTGATTATTTGTGAGTGTTGTCTAGACCCGAGGCAATATGATGTTTGCACTCGTCCACCAATTGCTGATTGTTTGTAAGTGTTGTTTAGACCCGAGGCCATCTGATGTTGGCATTCTTCCACCAGTGGCTGATTGTTTGTTAGTGTTGTCTAGACCCAAGGCGATATGATGTTTGCACTCCTCCAGCAATGGCTGATTGTTTGTTAGTGTTGTCTAGATCCGAGGCAATATGATGTTTGCACTCGTATACCAATGGCTGATTGTTTGTTAGTGTTGTTTAGACCGAAGGCGATATGATGTTAGCACTCGTCCACCAATGGCTGGTTGTTTGTTAGTGTTGTCTAGACCCGAGGCGATATGATGTTGGCATTCTTCCACCAGTGGCTGATTGTTTGTTAGTGTTGTCTAGACCCGAGGCGATATGATGTTGGCACTCCTCCAGCAATTGCTGATTGTTTGTAAGTGTTGTCTAGACCCAAGGCGATATGATGTTGGCACTCGTCCACCAATGGCTGGTTGTTTGTTAGTGTTGTCTAGACCCGAGGCGATATGATGTTGGCATTCTTCCACCAGTGGCTGATTGTTTGTTAGTTATGTCTAGACCCGAGGCGATATGATGTTGGCACTCCTCCAGCAATGGCTGATTGTTTGTTAGTGTTGTCTAGACCCGAGGCAATATGATGTTTGCACTCGTCCACCAATTGCTGATTGTTTGTAAGTGTTGTTTAGACCCGAGGCAATCTGATGTTGGCATTCTTCCACCAGTGGCCAATTGTTTGTTAGTGTTGTCTAGACCGAAGGCGATATGATGTTAGCACTCGTCCACAAATGGCTGGTTGTTTGTTAGTGTTGTCTAGACCCGAGGCGATATGATGTTGGCATTCTTCCACCAGTGGCTGATTGTTTGTTAGTGTTGTCTAGACCCGAGGCGATATGATGTTGGCACTCCTCCAGCAATTGCTGATTGTTTGTAAGTGTTGTCTAGACCCGAGGCGATATGATGTTGGCACTCCTCCAGCAATGGCTGATTGTTTGTTAGTGTTGTCTAGACCCGAGCCCATCTGATGTTGGCACTCGTATACCAATGGCTGATTGCTAGTATTTTCTAGACCCGAGGTGATATGATGTTGGCACTCCTCCAGCAATGGCTAATTGCTTGTTAGTGTTGTCTAAACCCGAGACAATATGATATTGACATTCGTCCACCAATGGCTGATTGTTTGTTAGTGTTGTCTAGACCCGAGGCGATATGGCGTTGGCACTCCTCCACCAATGGCTGATTGTTTGTTAGTGTTGTCTAGACCAGAGGCGATATGATGTTGGCACTCCTCCAGCAATGGCTGATTGTTTGTTAGTATTGTTGAAGAACCAGTGGCAAACATTTCAAGCATATCCAGGACGATAGCAATTTTAAAACAATTAATTTTAAACTGTAAAATAGGTCGACCAGGATGAAGGCAGACGTCTAACACTGGAAAAGATTTGTATGTTGGATACGTGACGAAACTGTGCATGGCAACAGTCTATCTCAGGCCCGCTTAAGGAGGTGTTGCAAGGATGTTTTTACGTATCGAGTTTGGCACTATCCCTAAATAAGGCATCGAATTCAACTTCTACCGGTTGGTAGCTATGTATTTATACACACAGCACTGTCAAACGAATCCCTAAACCCCACCATTGGTACAACTGTCGGACGGACATATCCAGATATACATAGTCAACAATTGGGTGTTCCATAGTTAAAGAACTTATGGTAACATTATCTGATATTGGTCAATTGTTCATATTTTTGGAGTCTACCTTACACATAATATATTTATTTTAATTTGCTGCAGAAGTGTTCAATGAAATAATACCGATAGCTTACTAGCAAACTAGATTCTACTGTTATTGTATTTTACAATAAGATTGTCGGGTGACAGTATTTGTAAGATTTTTTTGCCCAGTATAGTCTGAATATTTTGTTGATAGCATCCTTTATCTGTGTTCTTCACTGCACATGTGTAGAGTAATCGATACGTAGCAAATAGTTCTGTTAAAACCAGTCGCCTTGAACTTGGAGTAATGAGTGAGGTTTTGCTTCTTGATGAAACTATAACTACTTTGACTTTGACTTTAAGATGAAGAACATCGATAAAATTATTTTCCTTTCTTTTGGTTTTTGTCAAATGGTTGTATAAATTTTCTGTCATGAATAAATACAACCTATACCTTTTTTCTTTCAGAAAGTAGGATAAACCAGATACACCATTAGAGACAAAGTTCCAAATCTAATTAACTGCATCTAAGGACCAGAACACGTGTTTGCAATGCAAAAGATATTTATAAACGATAATATAAAAATGAGAAGATTTGGTATGATTGTCAATAACACAACTATCCAGCAGAGTTAAAATGAAGTGGTATTAAGCAATTATTAAAACCGTAAGACCTTCAACAATGAGAAAAATCCATACCGTATAGTAGTCAATAAAAGGTCCAGATATGAAAAATGAGAAAACTAACGCCCTAATTCATAACAAAACAATTTACGAAATACAAATATGACAGACATGGACCAACGACAACCACTGAAATACAGGCTCCTGACTTGGGACAGGCACATAAAGAATGTGGCGGGGTTAAACATGTTTGTGAGCGCTCAATCTTCCTCTAACCTGGGACAAGGGTGTAACAGCACAACCTAAGAACACATGGTAAAAATCAGTTGCAATTTACTTAACTCAAAAGATCGGTACGAGGCACAAAAACAACTAACATTAGAAAATTCTAATATTTGAAACCCGCCTGTCATTACACATTTTGTAAACCCTGTTTAAATGACATGAAAAAAAATTATACCATTTTATTCTAAAGGCGATTAGTGTTTTACACAGCAATAAAAGAAAACAAGAAATATCAACTATTAAATCTCAACAAAATGTTTAAAATTACATGGAACCTGCAACCTTCAATTTGTTAAGTTTGTCTATGCATTGGAACCTTTTATAGCTAATACTTTTTTGTGTAGGTTTGGATCATTGTTGAAGGCTTGACCTACGGTGACCTGTAGTTATTTTAATTCGTGTCCTAAGGCTAAGGTCGTTGATGGACAATTTTCACGTTGGCAATCATACCACATATACTTATTTTCAATTATACTTTCATCATAAAAAGGGGAATTATTGAAGGAGAAACTAAAACTCATTTGAATATCATTGTCAAATAGAGAATATTTCTACTTTTTCAATTTGTCAGTTGTGGGTATTTAGAATATTTCCCTACGTCAGTAACCTTATTAGGACGGAAAATTACAATTCAAAATACAACAAAAGAATAACACGATTTAAATTTTACACTTACTTAAGTTTGCTAAATTGAAATTATGCAGATTAATCCAAATTAATCAGATTTAATGTAAACCTACTGCTTTATGTTTTAAACACTTCGACACCACTAGATATACACTACAGGGAGGGAAAGAATAGGGGAGGAAAAACGAAAAGTTATTTTATTATCGAAGAATATTTTGTACGTCGTAATAAAGTGATGTTAAAAAAAACTGAGAATAAGTTTTCCTGAAGATATACGAACGAAGAGAGATGTGAATCTTAACATCTAAATAAATACTTTGCAGTTGTTAACCTTTAACTGGCCTATCCTGAAGTATGGAACTGTTGTAATGGAGAACAAAAACATGGAGACGTAAAAAATTGTGAAAAAAATACTTTTTAATTAAATTCATTCGGAAAAGTTTATCTTGAAGTGCCATAATGACTTAGAAAAATGAGGATTATCGGATATTTTTTAACTTTGTTTGTGTTGTTCGTGTCAAATGGTAAGTTCATAAAAAGTTTTACGAAGTTCGTAAAGTATCATTGAGAATCTCTAAAAACCAATTTACTACAATATCTCTTATGCAAAGGCGTATGCATCGATTTCAGTTATGACTGAAATGTCCTTACATGGCTTGTCATGAACAGTAAGAAATTCACGACAAATGATTGTTAGTTTTGGTTAATTGTCCTCTTTTGTCCGATACACATATAAGAAAATATCATAATACTACCAGCATGCTCTTTGAAAGAGTATATCCCCCTGCCTAATGTTGTATATCCCCCTGTCTTATGTTGTATATCCCCCTGTCTAATGTTGTATATCCCCCCTGTCTAATGTTGTGTATCCCCCTGTTTAATGTTGTATATCCCTGTCTAATGTTGTATATCCCCCTGTCTAATGTTGTATATCCCCCTGTCTTATGTTGTATATCCCCCTGTCTAATGTTGTATATCCCCCCTGTCTAATGTTGTGTATCCTCCCTGTTTTATGTTGTATATCCCTGTCTAATGTTGTATATCCCCCTGTCTAATGTTGTATATCCCCCTGTCTAATGTTGTATATCCCCCTGCCTAATGTTGTATATCCCCCTGTCTAATGTTGTATATCCCCCTGTCTAATGTTGTATATCCCCCTGTCTAATGTTGTATATCCTCCTGTCTTATGTTGTATATACCCCTTCTAATGTTGTATATCCCCCTGTCTAATGTTGTATATCCCCCTGTCTAATGTTGAATTTGAAAATAAGGATATGTGATAAAATTGTTAATTAGACAACTATCCACCAAGGATATAAACATGGTATATCACTTAATGATTAGTGAAACATTTGTCGTATGGTAAAAAACTGTCAAAGATACCAGTTTTATAATTTGGTTCGCCAGACGCTCGTTTTGTCAACATAAAACTCAGCAGTGGCGTTCGAATCAAAACAGTCGGAAGGTCAAAATCAATTGCAAAGTTAAAATCCGACAAATCCGGTACGCGAGACAGGTTCCTGAGATGGAACCCACGGACAACCACTAGGATATAGGCTCCTAGCTTAGGGCAGTTTCATAAAGAACGTGGTGCTCCACCCTCCCCCTTCTCCATTGGTGTAACAACACAACCTTTTAACAAGCTGTAAAAATTAATTCATAAAGGGCTCGACTTATCAAATTTGCACGCATAGATCTAAAATTATTGAAGACTGTATGTTGCCCTATAAATGTCATTGGTTAATTTGTCCTTGGGTTGCTGTCTCATTGGATAATATTTCACACATATCCTGGTATTCATATTTACAAGTTCGAATAGGTGATGAAGTAAACGTTTTCTTAACTTTTCGCACTCATATTCGACTAGAAGTAAAGTCTGACACATTGGATATTGCTGCCCTGGCCTGCGTTTCACAAAAAATCTTACGACTAAAATTGATCGTAACTCTTACGCAATTCAGTATTATAGATTTTAGATAACCAAAAAAAGACGCTTTCAAATTTAGGAAACGATTTGTCTACATAAAAGTTATAAACACGGTATTGTGTATATACATAATGTACGGGAGGAAACAGATAACAGGAATCACAAATGACACGGACAACAAAATGCTACACCAGCCACCTGCAACATGTATATAAACGCAAATGTGTTACATAACCTGTCTTATCAGTCATAACGTGTGGTAAGATATACTCTACAACTACATAAAGCATTTTCAAAAATAGTTCCAGTTGCTACATGTATAATCCGGACAACTTTTGATTTGTGCTTGGGCTAGCAGTAAGATAGCTACATGTACAATCCAGACAACTTTTGATTTGTGGTTGGGCTAACAGTAAGATAGCTACATGTACAATCCAGACAACTTTTGATTTGTGCTTGGTCTAGCAGTAAGATAGCTACATGTACAATCCAGACAACTTTTGATTTGTGGTTGGTCTAGCAGTAAGATAGCTACATGTACAATCAAGACAACTTTTGATTTGTGCTTGGTCTAGCAGTAAGATAGCTACATGTACAATCCAGACAACTTTTGATTTGTGGTTGGTCTAGCAGTAAGATAGCTACATGTACAATCCAGACAACTTTTGATTTGTGGTTGGTCTAGCAGTAAGATAGCTACATGTACAATCCAGACAACTTTTGATTTGTGGTTGGTCTAGCAGTAAGATAGCACTGTTGTTTGTATTGTAGTTACTGGTAGTGTTTCGTTAGTTGGTTTCTGAACTAGTATTGAGATTGTTTTGGGGTTTTTGTGGGCTACAATTGAGATCCTGATAGCTGTGATTGATACCTCGACCAGTTCTGTAGATGAAGAATGAACAGCTTTTTTTTTTAAATGAACAGTTTTGGAAGGACCAGATCTAAGATTGTATTAAATTGATTATTGTTAATGTAATGGATATTCAATTCCATCATCATGTATATCATGTTATGTTGTAGTTGAGGGATGTACAATCCCGACAGCATTGATTGGGACCTGGACCAGTAGTAACTCCGGCACTATAGAACTCAACTCCACTCATCTGATTGATTATTCTATATACAATAAAGGCGGACTAACGTTCGAGTGCTTCGACCACACCGGACGTTATTACTCGTTTAAGTGAGTTAATTCGTAAACTATTGATGTTTATTTTGTACATTGATTGTTATCAATGGCTTCTTTACTCATTATAATGCTGTTATCTTTTAAGGGTGTTGGTTTATTTTAAGAAAACCTTTAGAGAGAAAAGGCGAATGCAAACAATCCTTTCTTTTCTATGGTACCTATGAATCCTCTTTTCAACAGCCTCGTTTTAAACGGATAAAAATTAATAAATTTGTAGAATTTTAACTCCTATGCATCTCCTGTAATTCTTGTATAGGTTTGGATCATTGTTGAAGGCTTGACCTACGGTGACCTGTAGTTATTTTAATTCGTGTCCTAAGGCTATACTGCAACATTTAAAGTACAACAAACAGTAAAATGGAGTTTATAAATAAATTTAACATTCGATGTTCGGTGATAACCTCTTTTTATGTGATTGAACTGAACTGACAATGTTTAACTTTACTATGAACAAGGTTTACTGATAAATAAATTTGTTTATTGCTGCATTTCCTATTCTTTGTTAACGGCATCGAAGGGGATAAATAAATTTGTTTATTGCTGCATTTCCTATTCTTTGTTAACGGCATCGAAGGGTTTCCCAATAAATCGTTAAAGTTGGAAGGTTTGTTAACACACACAAGTTTTATACTATTAAATATTACAATACTTTTGTTAGAAAGTAAAGCATGGTGTTATGATATGTTTTTTCTAGGTATGAAATCATTTACAATCTACAACATTTTACTTTTTGTTGTACTTTAAATGTTGCAGTATAGTAACTATATGTTTTAGTGAAATCATTGACAACGACATACAAGAATTACAGGAGATGCATACATTAATTATTATTTACTTAGTTTGATTCAATTTTAATACATTTTTCAATCAGTTTTTCTTTCAATTTAATCTTACAGAACTGAAAGTATTTCTTTGTTCAATGCAGTGGCTGTTGCTTCATTATGTATCGAGTTTACAGCAGTCAAAACGGGAATGTATAAATATGTCATCAAGACAAGTAAGTTACAATGTATAAATATGTCATCAAGACAAGTAAGTTACAATGTATAAATATGTCATCAAGACAAGTAAGTTACTATGTAAAAATATGTCATCAAGACAAGTAAGTTACAATGTAAAAATATGTCATCAAGACAAGTAAGTTACAATGTATAAATATGTCATCAAGACAAGTACGTTACTATGTAAAAATATGTCATCAAGACAAGTAAGTTACAATGTAAATATATGTCATCAAGACAAGTAAGTTACTATGAATGATGGCATCAAAGCAAATAAGTAGCACTTCACTAAAATACCCACAAATCCTACACTTACTCACTCAGTTCTTGAAACCAGGGAAACAAATATCAATAAAATCAGTTTGTGTATATACCGTTGAGACAGCACATAACGAAAAAAAAAAAAAAAACAAACGAAAGACATCTAGAGGTCAACATATAAAGTGTCTTCAAATATAACGAAATAAATGTAGAGCACTTTTTTGACACGAGTCTAGACTAGAATACATACCTTGAGTCGTCTTTTGATTACTTTTGTCGTTGTGTTGCTGTCTTATTGACATATAACCCAAATGTTCTAGAGACTATAAATAATCTTCAATAATCACCAATTTCCATAATGGACAAAGACAATAAAACCACTGACGGTTTATTGATGTAGTACGTCACCAAATGCTATTGAAACCGTGCCATCCTATTCTCTTCTATCGGCAGCTGTATTTCCAAGATGATTTCATACAGTAACTTCGTGATTATTATAAGGAAAACTATTTCTGCAATTCCAAAAGTAGCTTTATACAGAATTTCAGTACGAACAAATTTAAATATTCTAGAAACTGATAATATCCACAAATTATATAGCGCAATTATTTAACAACAAAAGTACAATTTCAACATTTATCAGAAGATTTTAAGCAAAAAGAAATGACTTGGAAAGACAATTACTCATCTTGCTTACATAATATATGATACCACTAAGAAAATCAGGATGTGACCATTTTGTACAAGATCAGAGCAATAAATTTTTACCTTTGTATTGTTAAAATATACATGTCCTGATCCATTCATAATTTCGGCATAACTGATGCAAAATACGTCTTTCAAGACTAAGACATCACTAAGAACATCCGGGTATCTAACCAAAAGAGGTACACTATTTAGGACGAATCCAACGGAACATTACCATCAAAGGCAGGAAAATAAATAATGGGAAAGGAAATGTCTTCGCGTTTGTCATAAGTATCTAATAGATATAAGAAGATGTGGTATGAGTGCCAACGAGACAACTCTCCATCCAAGTCAAAATAAGACTACATATAGAAGTTCTAATAAAGTCTTTTTTCAGTTTTTTTCAAGAAAAAAATCGGTGCTCTTTTTATTTAGATAGAAAAACGACAGTTGAATTACACCTTGTTTTTCAATCTGACCCATCAAATTTATTTCTTCAAAGGTCAACTGTCACAAGCAGATAATGAAAGATTTATGTATGCCTCTAGCTCGACATCGCTGACTTCGTCCCTTGTATGTGATGACACGTCAAACACGGATTACCATATATTATTAGATTCAAGTAAGTATCTGAGTGTGATAAACTAGTTGATTTCTTGTTCATTATTAGCCTGAAATAATTCAGAAAATAGAAATGAAATAAAGACAATAGTCACGAAGAATGTATACCGATGCTTAATGTTCCACCTTCTTGTAATATACATTAATGGTACTGGGTTTTTTCATTGTTGAAGGTCGTGCGATGACATATATGGGTTCCCATCCTTATCTGATCCTTTTTGTGTTGGGAAGATAGATGTCTCATTGGCAATCATACCTCATCTCCTTATTTTCACAATGAGTTAATTGTTTAGTCTATTGCTCTGGATACATTAGAATTTTTATCCTTTTTCAAAGATATTTCAATTTTAAATAACAAGACGTCGGTGTAGACGTGTCAAAATTATTGGTGATTGATTGATTGATTGATTGATTGATTGATTGATTATTGATTGATTGATCGATTGATTGTTATTTTATTGATTGATTGATTGATTGATTGATTGATTGATTGATTGATTGATTCTAAACGGTCACTGATAATTTATTGTTTTCCTGAATTTGGCCTTAGTCCTAATAATCTTTGAAAATCATTTATTGAAGAAAAACACATTGAAGCATTGTCTAATTATTAGTAACAGGTATATACTACACCACTTGTATATCATTAAAAATAAATCTTTCCTTTTTTTTAATAAGAAAAATATATATCTGTACTTGTCTTGCCTTTTTCAGATGTTACTGTGGTCAAATCTGTGTATATGATATTGATGCATGTACTTACGTCAATAAACGCTTTACAAAAATAAAGAAAACTATAGGACTCCAGCATTCTTGATGCGGTGCCTTAATAATAACAGTTTATTCATTAAAATTCAATAAGGCAAACAACTTTGTTTACATATGTCTATTGCTTCTCTTCAGTAAAGAATGTATACGTTAAAGCAAGAGAGTACATAACAAAAACTGTTTATGTTTCAGGCACTGATGCCGCGGATTTCGCTCAACAATGTCCAGATGCATTTCTCGGAATATTTGGGTATGTTTCTAATATAACAACTGGAGCAGAGTGTAACGGAACCGGAAGTCTTAATGTGTGTGACACAACTACGAAGATGTCCTTCAATTATACGGCATGTTCTACAGTTCAAGCTTATTCCAGTAAGTTAATGTTTGCGAAACAAATGGTTTACTATGATAACTTGAGTATCCCTTGATTGGAATAATATTTACACAGATATAGGAAAGGGTGGAAAGCCTATAGATTTGGGATCAAAAGGTCAATGGTCAGGTCACCGTTACTAAAAATGGAACATTTTTGGAATTGGTTTCCGCATGGTAACTTGATTTTTTCTTGCTTGATTGGAATGAAACTTAATCAGATGGAAGATAGAGAGAAGGTTGAAAGCCTATTAAATTTTGGTTCAATAGGACAACGGCCAAGGTCACTTATACTAAAAATAGAAAAAATGGTAAAATGTTTTGCGGATGGTAGCTTGAGTTAAACTTGGTTGATTGGAATCAAACGTATAACGTTGGAAGATATCGAGAAATAGGAAAGCCTTTTGGTTTCGGGGTTAAAAGATATAGGATAAAGGTGTCTGTTACTAAAAATATCTTATTACGTTTCGGGATGGTATGCCACTATGAATTGTAATACAATTATACAGGTGAACAGTTAGCAATAAAAGTACATATGTATTTGTCACTTCAGACATACTTGTATTTTGAACCCCTCAAATATTAAATAAAATTGTTTTCCCTCAATAAATGTGTAGACAGTGTTATGCCAGCTTACTTTTTGTTAAAAATTATGTTTTTAATTATTTTATTTTTATCTTCATTCTTGCTTAAATAAAATTAACTAAGTCATTTTGTAAATTATAGTTATGTTAAAATACAAGAGGTTTGTTGTGAACTGTACACTGATTTAATTTTGATTCAGGTGGTGGGGAGTTGTACTGTATTTCATCAAGGACTTCCGGTACTAGTACCCAAGTAACGATGTATAACCTTGATTCAACGACTGATGAGTCAACGACTTACAGGTTTATGTGCTATGTACGTTATTTAGTTAATTACATTGTCTACAAATCCTCAACCAAAAATTTTCACTTGACGTTTAGTAAGAAACAACCAATCGTTCAATCAGACCAATCAATTAATCAATCAACCAAAGATAATTACTTGACGTTTAGCAAGCCACAACTAATCAATAAATCAACCAAAGATTTTCACTTAACGTTCAGTATACAACAACCAACCATTCAATCCAACCAATCAATAAATCGACCTCAGATGTTCACTTGACATTAAGTTTGCAACAACCAACCATTCAATCCAACCAATCAATAAATCAACATAAGATGTTCACTTAACGTTCAGTATGCAACAACCAATCAATTAATCCAACCAATCAATAAATCGACCTAAGATTATTCTTTTTTTTACTTGACGTTTAGCAAACCACAACTAATCATTCAATCAAACTTATTAATTAATAAACCAAAGATGTTTACTTTACGTTTAGTAAACAACAACCAATCATTCAATTAAAACAATCAATTAATCAACCAAAGATGTTTACTTTACGTTTAGTAAACAACAACCAATCATTCAATTAAAACAATCAATTAATAAACAAAAGATGTTTACTTTACGTTTAGTAAACAACAACCAATCATTCAATTAAAACAATCAAGTAATAAATCAAAGATGAATAACCGGACCTATCGTTACTCTACTTGATACACAAATTACATAAATGCTTCAACAAAATTATATTGCTGGATCTCCCAATTATTTAGCTTTTTTTCCGAGTTGTTAACATATACTTCTCCATCCTTTACACAAGTATTCCCCATTCTAGATATAAATGTTCCTAAGATGAACATATAGTGAACTCTACACGTAGATGTCTATGATGGTTAACATAGATATTATTTACCTATGTTATTATGTACTTTCTTACCAAGTAATAGTACTTACAAAAGACGGTTATTTGATTCAATTTTTTGTTCAGGTTGTTGAATCTTCGACTGATGGTAACGTGTATGCTTCACAATTTCCTCAGTATTGTTACACTGGACAAACACCAACCACTGTATCAAGTCCAGGGGGACTAATTGTACTGACAGCTAGTTGTAAGTATTTCTAACGGACAAAGTCATACATTTATCTGAACTTAACATTCAAATTATTGTTGTTTAAATCAGGAACTAAATGAAGATTAAAATTGTTGTGTTGTGAATTGGCCGTTTCGGAAATCTAAAGGACTATGGGTAATTTAATTGTCCGTACCCCAAAATGAAAATAACGTCACGTCAATGGTTAAATTGCCATTGGTTAGGACATTTTTAACCAATCACGACGTTTTGGTGTACACTTTTGAAAATATTACCCAGAATGCATTAGATTCTGAACCTGCGAATTGAGTCTTCAGTGGCATCTCTTTCATAGCAACACAAACACTGTTTTATCAAAAGGCAGACAATTGGTAGATATATCAATAAAACAATTATTAAGTTGAAGTCATCTCTTTAAAAGTTTAACGACGGTATCATGGTTGAGCGTGTCACAAATGATGTTTGTGGTTACCGCATTCTGTACTCAAATCATCGTGCATGCTTATACTGTTCATTCTTATTCGTGATGAACTAATTAACGTGGATTGATTGATTGTTGATGTTTACCGCCACTTTCAGCACTTATTCGCTATATCAGGTTTTTATGAATTAAGCCTGAGTAACCGTAAGAAATCATCGACCTACGAAAGGAAAACTGACAATCCTATTCAATCCTGATCGGAGTCGGAGGCAACTGCCACGTGTGGGTTCTAACTTATAACCTCAGTGTTTACAAGCTGTGTTTCTGTAACGTGTGGTGTTGGTGTTTTTGTAACGCGTTATTGTTGTTTCTGTAACGTGTTATGTCAGTATTTTTGTAACGTGTTACTTTGGTGTTCCTGCAACGCGTTATATTGGTGTTTCTGTAACGCGTTATATTGATGTTTCTGTAACGTGTTACGTTGGTGTTTCTGTAACGTGTTATGTTGGTGTTTCTATAACGCGTTATATTGGGGTTTTTGTAACGCGTTATATTGATGTTTCTGTTACGCGTTATATTGGTGTTTCTGTAACGTGTTATATTGGTGTTTCTGTAACGTGTTATGTCGGTGCTTCTGTAACGTGTTATGTTGGTGTTTCTGTAACTCGTTATATTGGTGTTTCTGTAACGTGTTATGTTGGTGTTTCTGTAACGCGATATATTGGTGCTTCTGTAACGTGTTATGTTGGTGTTTCTGTAACGCGATATATTGGTGCTTCTGTTACGCGTTATTTTGGTGTTTCTGTAACGTGTTATGTCGGTGTTTCTGTAACGTGTTATGTTGGTGTTTCTGTAACGTGTTATGTTGGTGTTTCTGTAACGTGTTATATTGGTGTTTCTGTAACGTGTTATGTCGGTGTTTCTGTAACGTGTTATGTTGGTGTTTTTGTAACGTGTTATGTTGGTGTTTTTGTAACGCGTTATTTTGGTGTTTCTGTAACGTGTTATGTCAGTATTTTTGTAACGTGTTACTTTGGTGTTCCTGTAACGCGTTGTATTGGTGTTTCTGTAAAGTGTTACGTTGGTGTTTCTGTAACGTGTAACATTGGTGTTCCTGTAACCTGTTACGTTGGTGTTCCTGTGGCGTGTTAAATTCGTGTTTCTTTAACGTGTTAAGTTCGTGTTTCTTTAACGTGTTAAGTTCGTGTTTCTTTAAAGCATTATGTTGGTGTTGGTGTTTTTGTCTTTTTCTTGATTTAATATACAATTGCCATATCATCAATAATAGATAATTAGTTCAAAAAAAGGGTGCTGATAACATTAACGATAACACTTTTACTGCACCAGATGCGTATTCTAAAAAATAAATGTCTCTTCAGTGTTATATTGAAAAATATTGAAAAAAGAAAGTAATCAAATCTCAAGAGAAAGGGGTAAAAACAGATATTATAAAACTTTTGATCGTTTAATTCACTAATGTGTACGTCGTGTTAGCGTTGTTGAAATGCATAAAACTGCATCATGCCTTCTTTTTTTTATCAAAAACAAAAAACAATAAACTTGTATTATAATTGCATCTTTTTTTCTTCTTGTAGCTACCTGTGGTACGTATATCTATTTAATTGTGCTATCAATTTTAATAATTATTCTTTATCTTAAAGACCACTTCTGTTAAACTGTTAGTCACATAGGAAATCTTCCAACCTGTATTCAATTTGTTTTCTGAGATTTATTATTGATAAAATCGGAGCTGATTCCTTAAAGATTATTGATAAAACTCATCTGGTTTTAAAACCATCTCATGATAACTTTACCATTGAAAAAGTAGAAGGACGTTTTGATATATTCTCAGGTGATTAATTTGGTATTTTGTTTACAAAAATTATAATTTGAACTCTCTCTTGAAAAGTTTATAGTTGCAAATATTCTTATTGTGTCTCCTTTGCTTGTAGTTCTTCCTGTTATCAGGACTTATATCTATGTAATATTTTTCTTCGAGTGTTTCTGATTAGTTTTGAGCTGGGAACAGTATATCTATATAATATATATGTTCCTGGTATTGAGTAATAATTCACATCGAATACAAGAAACGCAGTAAAAGTTTTTTTAATTTTATAACGGGTGATTTAAGGGTTTTTGAAAGGTAGAATAATTAAGCGCTAAGACCTCTCTGTGTTCAACAAAAAATATACGATATATTTATCCAGAATTTATTTTCTTTTTATATCTTTTTGGTTATCAGACTGATCTAGATGAAAGTATACTCCACACAGTAATAGCAGTGCAGTTTACCTTCATTTGCTCTCTGTTAGGTCCATTCTACATGCATACAGTTATTTTTTCTCATTCAAAGAACACAAACTGATGAGGTTACATGTATGTTTACTCTCAAATCTCATTGGTTCAACTTTCTAAAAACTGTTACCCGGATTTGTTTAAATCACAATACAAATAATCATAAGAAAAAGTATGTAAAAATGTAACAAAGCATACAAAACTATAGTAATGTTCACGATTTCACAAAGAGCAGGAAGCGACACACTGTGCAGTGCACTATTTAACTCTTGTGTTGGAAATGTTTTCACTCTCATTAAGTTAATTTCTCGATAACTATCATCATTAACAAAATTTTAGAAACGTATTTCTATGAGTTATATATTGAAATTGAAATCATACCTGGCATCACGCTTTATTTTCAAAAATTAAGAATTTACCATTGATGGGTTTGAGGAGGAAATACAATACCATGGATAAAACACAGATACAAACAGTTTATATTATGCAGTTTATTCATACGAGGGGTTTGCATTCACCTTTATATTCTGAATGACTTAAAATGGATATCACAGTTATGTATGTTTTTGGTTGGTTTTTTTTTTTAATATTTGACATTTTATTAGGCCCACATTCCGTATTACTTGTTTCAATCACAGCATAAACCAGGCTGTAGTTTTTGGTTGTTTCACTTTTTTAAGCGGTTAATGTTTTGAAGGCCGCATAAGTCCGTACAGTGCTACTCACATTCCGGTCCTTTGGTCTCATGAGGATAGTTTTCTCGCTAGCAACAATACCACTTATCCTTCTTTTGTAAATGTAGATGTGTGATGTGACACAATTGATATAGGTAAAGATTGAAAATGTCCCTGATAAGAAATAAATTCAGCCCTACCTCTTTAAAACAAGGGGGTTCAAACATTTTTCCTTGTTTATTTGGTCTTGGTATTTCAAAGCAAATTTAGTTTAGATATTTCCATTTTTTAGCATTTGGTCTCTGGTGGATAGTTGTCTCGTTTGCAGTGTGACACTGTGAATATAAGTGAAGATTGAAAGAGTTTTTGGAAAATGGCTCTTCAGGAAATTTGCCCATCCTCTTTAATACAAGGGTAAAGACATTTTGCCTTGTTTCTTCATTCAAAATGACACATTAATAAGAATTGTTTACTTTGAATGTACTATGTCTGCTTTTTTGCTTCTGTTTACATGCTATATTGTAATATTTTAGTGCCTCCAAAGTCTTCCGGTTTAACCGCTGGCGCCAGCGCAGGAATAGCTATTGGTGTACTTCTAATATTATTAATTCTGTTGCTGCTTATTGGATTCTGCATATACAAGAAGACCAGGAAAGTGGACCCCGGTCCAATACCACCTGATCAAGGTGTGGCACCGGCAGAAACAAAAATGCCGACTGAAGACAAATCAAGACCGGATATGATGAGAAATATAAGACCTTTCAACCATTCAAACATGCGTAGAAACGACGATATGGACATTGAGGATATTGAAGATAGGGATAAGGTTCCAAGACTGGAGAGAGATCTTACCCAACATTCAACACTCCGACAACAGATTATAACACCGAGTGTTGTGAATCCTATGGTCCGTGAATGGAGTGATATGGGCTACTCCGATGACTTGACATTAATAGATTCGGAGAATATGCATAATCAGTTAGATCCCCCCTCACCTATACCTGAAGGGTTAACACCAGTCGAAGGATTCGGTCCAGTGTACGATTATTGGAATACTGTAGACGAAAGGCACGCTCCGGAAAAGAAGAAAAAGAAAAAGAAAAATGTGAAAAAGAAGAAAAAGAAAAATGATTAGGGAAAAGTATATAATGAAGTACAATTTGGACGTGAGATATATATCTGTACGATATTAATTGATACTTTTGAGAGAGGGAGAGAGAGAAAACAAGCTGTTATACAATGATAGATAAGTGCTTATGATGTTAGCATATGCACAATGAAGTATTATTTTGACGTTTTTTATACAACATTATGCAATGTTTGTCTATAATGAATTTATGGTGTTCTTTTACTTCTGGAAAGTGATGGTTTAAATACATGTATATTATCTATTATTGCTGTTTTACGAATTTTTCCTTTGATCTTGCTGACTGATAATTTCCTTTCTCAGCGGAGTCGAGTGATATGAAAACGGAGTCGAGTGATATGAAAATTATCGCTAGAAACTAAGGGAACACGTGCCGTTGTCAAGGAAATTAACAACGTCTTCATAGGTAAAATAGCGATAAACAGATTATCATTGGTCATCTCAACTCGATTCCTTTTTTCACTTTCGCCGTACCGGCTCAAGCGAGAAAATCAATCTCGTTGAGATGACCAACGATAATCTATAATTAATTTTATTTTTATTTTGTCAGTTAGAAGATTATTGTACAATTGAATATTCTTTTACGCTCTTAGAATTTTGTTATTATACTGTTTACAAGAATTGTAAAAGTTGTATGCGACATGAGCTAACTTGGTGTGATTTATGATAACGTTTTCATTTACTTTATAACAATTATTCATGATCAGTCACTTATTGGTATTGAGATAACAGTTCTGTCACGATAGTTTTCAGCTACACAGCTAACAACAAAATCAACATTTTGTATTTTTTGTTACGATTTTATTTTATTTTGTATGTATCTCTGGGAAGATATGTTTTAAAAAAGCCAATAAGTACAAATCCAACACTTAAGAATTCCTCTATCTTATTTCAGTTTTTGTTGTTGTCAGATGGTCTCTATTGTGATTTGGCTAGACAAGTTAGATGTTAAGGAGCAGCTAATATACAAAACATGAAAATGACCAACCAAAATTTGCGTTACACATTTTTTTGTTTATTCCTGTAATATTTTGTTGACCCATACTGCTTACAAAATGGGAATAGTGTGCTTGTATCGAATTCAAGCATTTCTCAAATTGCTTTCAAAATTGATCAAGTGTGCTTATTTACAAACAAATATTCAAACACATATGCTTATTCGATCCATACATTTTATATATACTTGCCCTGTACTTATAGATAATAGATGTAAAAGTATTTTAAAAACTATTCCCTTATGGTAACAAGCTGACATACAAGGCAACAATACCACAAACCATTTTTTGTTGCAAGTAAAACCTCAAGAAACTAGAAATAGATCATCTGGACGACAGAAATAAGTTAACTAATATTTTATGTTTTGTATGTGCTCTTTACTTTTATCTTATTTATTAAATGGTAAAACTGTGTAATGTGCTGATGATATTATTACAGAGACAGATTCTAACGCTGGGTTAACAGCAGCAGCAACCATTGGCATTGCATTTGCTGTCTTGTTTTTATTCCTACTATTAGTCTTCATATGTGGTTTTATTGTACACAAGAAATCTAAAAAGGGTGAACCATTATTAAAAGATGACTCCGAATCCGAAACGGAACTGCAGATAGAAAACCCTCCTGGAAATCGTCCTAGATCGATGAAAAGTACAGTTAATACCACAGCCATGCACGTGCCATCTAGTACACTTCCGTTTATTGAAGGAAGTGACAAAGTTCCGACATTGTCACGTGACCTTACACGCCAATCAATTCCAACGATTTCAAGAGATGCTACACAGCAGTCGATTATTACACCACGTGCAATCAATCCATCTGTCCGGGAGTGGTATGACAAAGAAATGGAAAAGACTATATTCTTGGCAGCCGCAAAGTGACTTGAAAAGACTTGAATTGAACATATTGCATTTTTAGTATTCCTCAATTTTTAATTCTGTTCGTAGTATGTTTGAATGTTTTTGGTATCAAAAGGTGTTTTAAAAATGTTCTTAAATAATAACTTCGACAATGTAAAAAAAGAGTGTATCTTCTATTGATAATAATACGCTTAAAGATGCTTTTTTATTTCTCAATTTCAACAAGCTAGACATAAATGAAACAGTCCAGTCTTAGTCTCATACCCATAGAAAATGACCAGACACTAAAGTGTAGGAAGCGGAAATTATATCATTTTTTTTTCTGTTCTGCTATCAAATCGAATACCTAAAACTGCCATTTTCTGTCTTTGGCTCTTATTATGTTGCTCTTCTACGTTTTGGTGTTAAATCTTCGATATTTAGTGGTTGTTCCGTAAAGTTTATAAAAATAAGGAGATGTGGTAAGATTGCCAATTGCCATTTTGTGAACCTGATCTAGCATTATTTTTTACCTTTAATCGCTTTTCATCAGTCAGATATACTCATGCATATATAGTGATACATTCAGGAACAATTTCCAAAAAAGAGATTAATTGAACTAAGGTCAATTTTGCTTATAGGAATTAGAGTAAAAGTTCCTTGACGAAACAGTGAGTTAAAGGAATATCGCTAAACTGTCTTCGGAGAACCGGAATCGCTCACCTGACTTTTAAGAATATTCAACATTGAAATAATTAGTAAAAAAGGCAACAATCTTTCACACACTACGTAATATTATCACCAGGTTTGATCAAAGTCAAATTAGAGAAAACAATATATAAAATGACTATATTCCCAACAAGGAGTCAATTCACTAATTCCATCTCTTGATTTTCTTGTAGATATTGTCTGCCATGGCTTAACATTTATTGCTGCTTACAGTGTCTCTCTATCTACTATAGTTTCTTTAAAAAAATACCAAAAATGCATATTCGATACCATCATGCTGACTTATTTGTATATCTCGCATAGCTGATTATGTTTGCTGTTTCAATTTTGCGAAATGTAAAATTGAGAATGGAAATGGGGAATGTGTCAAAGAGACAACAACCCGACCAAAGAGCAGAAAACAGCCCAAGGCCACCAATGGGTCTTCAAAACAGCGAGAAAATCCCGCACCCGGAGTCGGGCTTCAGCTGGCCCCTTAAACAAAAATGTGTACTAGTTCAGTGAAAATGTATAATGTGCATACAATGGACATTTCATTGACAATAACATAAAATGGGTTGTCCGAAGGCTCTGGAAGTTTTAAAGTGGGTAGATTTTGACCTGTTGATCATCCCAACGCTGATCAAGGAATATAATCGAAGGATTTTTAAAGACGATACCCGTATAACGATGGTAATCCAGTTTGGTCTCAATCCATTCCGTAATTTCAGTGGAGACGAATTTTAGCGATGTCAGACAAATGCAGACGCAAAATGATGGCAATACCTAATCGGACCTTTGGCGCAGAATACTAATTAAGCTTGTATAATACGAATTCAATAGAGAGAACAGTTTATAAAACGAATGACCAGATCAAGGGGATCAAGAAAACAATTTGTCAAACAATAAATTGACGATAAAGTGGGTGTAATCAATAACCAAAAATAGGTGGTAATCAAAAACTAAAATTGAAGAAAAACAGACATCGTGGCCAAATTGATAAATGACAACAAAAAAAAACTTTCAACAAAACACTACACAAAACATAAACTGTTCGTATCAATTACTCATTCATACATTAACCATATGTAAGGCACCAACCATACATCTTTTGTGTCAGTGGAAACAGCTATTTGTGTTCCTCCACAAAAGATGAATGGTTGGTTCTAAAATAAACAGAGCTACTATACCGACTTTATATTACTTTCTTGGAGTCTGATTAACCATCGTGAGATTCGTCTGGATTCGCATGGTGGGTGATGCGTGCAAAACAGGAGATCAAATGCCTATTGGGTTAGTACTGGGCAATATAGAATCAGTTATATTGGGTTAGTACCGGGCAATATAGAATCAGTTATATTGGGCTAGTACTGGGCAATATAGAATCAGTTATATTGGGTTAGTACTGGGCAATATAGAATCAGTTGAAGTAGCATAGTTTTCACAAAGCGCTTCTTACTTGAAAATAGACCAAATGGCATGGCTATAACCAACTATTGTATAGGGCACCATCAATAAGATCCACAACTGTATAGTTAGCTATAAATAGGCAACAACATGACAAACAATTCAATCGAAAAACAAATATGACAGAAAGCAACCAACGACAACCACGTACAGGGACACGCACGTCATATATAATATGGCGGGATTAAATGTTTGTGAGCGCTCAACCCTCCCCTAACCCTGGATGGAGATGTAACGCCAGTGATGATCACATTATAAGAATAAACAGTAAAAATAAGTTTTTGAGAATTTGTTTTACTTGTCGCTCTTAACGAAATCTCTGCATTCAATTCGTACATTCACAGTTATAATGGATTAATATAAAATTTTAATAGAAAATTAAACCGATAAAATAATCAATAATATTTAAGATTTACCTATACGTGTAATTGATAACCTTGTGTCGATGTCAGACTACAAAATGATAACTTTTCATAAGATAAGAAAGTTTGTGATAACACCATGTTACACATATTTTACTATAAATAGAAACCAAAGATCATATAAAAAGTTGCCTTTCTGTATTATTTTAAATTACAAAATTTTTATAAGATACACCTGTTAAACAATATGAAAATAAAAATCCGCTAGTCTCTTTCTATGACAGAAAACATAATATTTAAACACAGGAAAATAATTATTCACATTTCATTGACTTCTGCTTGTGTAGTTGTATGTTTTGGCTGATAGTTATCAAAATATGATGGATCTTTAGAAAGAACATCCCATCCAGTTCTTCGACGGTTTTCATTTTGAATGTTTTTCTCGTCATTTTCTACTGAATGTAATTCGATTTGGTCCGTTTTGATTGGAGATTCGATTAGGTCCGTTTTGATTGGAGATTCGATTATGTCCGTTTTGATAGGAGATTTTAAGTTTGTTAGATGACTCGATGTTGTTGGTGTTTCCTGAATAGAAAATTCGTTGTCAAAACTTATTTTCTTCGTACCTGCTGGCTTTGTTTGAGATTTATAATTTGTTTCTTCTCGATTGTATTTGTTCTTTGGCAATTTCGGCACCTTTTCCGAAGGTTTGTCAACAAAACTAGACAAATATGCAATTCCAATGAGGACTAGACTACCTACGCAGATACTGGCGGACACTATACCATTTCTCCTCTGTTTCTCCTCTAATGACATAGGTTCGCCTTTATTTTTACTTGGGCCACTTATGTTGTTTGCTTTACCTGTGGTAGTTGGTTTGGTTGTGATTGGTTGACTTGTTGTCTGCTGTTGTCTTGTTGTTGTCGTACTCCCAGTGGTTGTTGTATTAATGGTACTTGGTGCATTCGAAGAAGACGTGTTAATACCGATGGTAGTTTCATTTTTGACCGCACCTGAAGTCGTGGAAGACGAGTTGGTTGACGATTTTGATGAAGATATACTACCTTCGGTGCTAGATAGAAAGTCTGTAGTTACTTTGGTACTTACGACCTCGGTAGAAGCAGTACTAGGATTGGTAGATAATAATGTAGCACTGACATTGGTACTTGGATGTTCACTACCGGAAACAGTGTTACCATTTGTAGTAGACTCTTTGTTTGTACTTACAGAAAGAGAGTCAGTAGTTGTACTAAATTGTCTCGAAGTTTGAGAAGTCGCCTCTGTTGTATTACAATAACATTGTCCTCCAAAAGTTAATAGAATAGCGAGCACTAAACGAATCTTCTGCTTCGACATTTTCCTTTCGATGAATCAATCTTTCTTCTTGGAATCGAATCGATCTTTCTATAGTGTTTTAAACATTTCACTTAATATTTACCTCAATAGTTCAACTGAATTTCATAATCAATGTTTGAACAATCTTTGATAATAATTACAAGTGGGTAATAGAAATTACCGATCTACTCAATTATGTTTTACTTTGCTTCGGCTTCGAACAGATTTCAGTACTGATCGAAAGATTTCTTTATGTTTTATTTCCATTTCTAATCAAATATCTTACAAATTTAAACCGTAAATTACTAATGACATTGAATAATTTAAAAATCCTTTATGAGGCCTCATGAGATTACATTGAAATTTGATAAAAATCCATACTTATTCGTTTATAAAAGGAACGCGGAAGTAATATCGTTTGATTGATGTCACTGTGCATATTTAGATAACACTTCATTGTCGCCTAGACTTAATGACAAATATTTATGCGTTAAGTTACTTGTAAAAAACTATTGTTTAACTGTTGGAAAAGCTTAATTGAGTTATCTCGCTTTTAGATTTTTTTTGCTTTACAAACGTATGGGGTTAATTGGTTGATGCATTAACAATCGGCAGCAAATACTACATGTATATGAAGACGATACCATGTTCACAATGCACATGAAAAAATATCGACAATTCTACCTCCTAACGTACTCGTGTTTGTTCTTGCTGTATATGTGTTGTATGACAAGTGGCAGAAATATAAAAATTGCATATTTCAGCAGTTAAATGGTGTATTATTTTCAAATCAAGATTTACATGTCCAAGTCAAAATTGAGAATGGAAACGGGTAATGTGTCACAGAGACCACAACTCGATCAAAGAGCAGAAAACAGCCCAAAACCACCAATGGGTCTTCAACACGGTGAGAAAATCCCGCATATGCAGGCACTACTGGCATTCTGCTTAATAGAAATTGAGGGTTCCAACTTGGAAACGTTTTATCATTAAGATTAAGTACGGTAAGACTTCGGGAAAAATTGTTTGATGCATTAATTGAAATTTGTCTTCAAGAACTAGATTTCAGTAACTGTGAGTACTCTAATACTTTTTTAAAATTTTTTTTTCTATTCTATTGTTTATATATTTGTTAAGTATTTGATGCGCCTTGTGTCGATCTGATAAATCAAGTCTTTTCCAGCTGATGTTTTCAGTGTGTTCCTATGATGAACACCACTGTTCCTGATTACATAGGAGAGGGTGAGTTCAGCGCTTACAATATAAAAATAGGAAGATGTGGTATGATTGCCAATGAGACAACTATCGACAAAAGTTCAAATGAAGTGGGATAAACATAATAAAAAGTGTCATGTTTAACCCCCGAAACATTTTTGTTTGCAACTGTCCCAAGTCAGGAGCCTGTAGTTCAGTGGTTGTTGCTGGGAGCTGTCTGCTATATATTTATTTTTTGGTTTATTGATTAAGCATATCTCCGTCGTTGGTTTCCTCTTTATGATTGTTTCACATTTTATCACGCAGTTGCTTTTTTATAGCTAACTATGTAGTCAAAGTTTTGCTATTTGTTAAAGGCCGTGTGGTTACCTTATTTTGTGAACATCCTGGTCCTTTATAAAAATAAGGGGATGTGGGATGATTGCCAATGAGACAACTATGCACCAAAGTTCAAATAAAGTGAATGTAAACAATCATAGGCAACCGTACGGCCTTCAAGTATAGGTTAGACAATACTTGGTCATGTTTGATGAAGATTTAAAGCCCAAGGCGTAGACGAGGGTTTTAAATGTTCGTAAAACATGACCAAGTATTGTCTGACCAATTTAGAACACTTTCACGTGACCTTACAAAATTATCCTTTCCTATTGTAATATTAAAACCTTAATAAAAATTCGCTTTTTATAATGAAGCGTTAACTAGGTTAATAAAAGGAATGTATAACATAGGTAATGATCATTTCAATGGATGGAATGAAATAGCACTGACATAGTTTAGTGAGGACAAAAAAAGGATAAATTGTTCAAACATTGAGTTTTTCTTCTGCTTCAGGTAAAACTTAATACTTATATACCTTAAATTTCTTGATTTTAAAAAGCACACAATGTTATATAAATCAGCTTTTTGAAATTTGTATATTTTTTGATAATTATAAAACCCACTCTATATATAAATATTTGAATTACGCCCATTCAACATCAGATGCTTACTTTTTATTAATGAATGTACCTTTATTGTGGATTTTTTTCGAAATATTCCTTTGCTTTATATATCAGCAGTTTGAAATTGTTTTCTTAAAAGAAAAAAAATAATTGACTCGAATGTCTCGTATAAAAATTGAATAAAAGATTTTACCTATCATTTCAACTATCTGTGGTATCCCTCAAGTCCAAAACAATTGGAAAGATGCATTTGAATTATTCTAGAAGCATATTTACTCGTTAAAAGATATCATACGTTTGTATAACAAATTTGTTTCGCTCGATTTGCATTTTTAAAATTTAGTAGGAACAAGGTTATGGGCAGATTATAATATTAGTAGCCAAATTGTATGTACTTGGACGGTTAGATTTTTTCATAATAATAAATAATAAATAAATAATAATAAAAATTCTTTAATTTACGATGGAAACACATTTAACAATGACATGTTAATCTTCCATGAGGCCTTCAAAAACTATTAATACAAATAGAAAAGACAAAAATACAAACAAAATAAAATACATAATACATGTTTAGCCGGATCCTTCCCTTTTCATGCACGTTTGTATTGTTTGTTTCCAATACTTTTGGACCGGATAGTATTGAAGAGACGGGAGATGTATGAACTTAAATCAGTAGTATATGTTTGTGTTATTTGAAATTGATAGCAAATGTAACATGACTAAAGATAACCTCATATTTTCGAAAAATATTAATTTATTTCATGATTTGATTAGAATATTCTTCTATGTATGCATCAGTGATATTGATTATACGGTGTATGAATGATCTTGAAAAATGTTGATAACACAATTCGTAGGAGAACTTCATTCTCTTATACAACAACTATGGTAGGCGCGGATCAAGCCATTTTGAAAAAGGGGTTCCAACTCCCGGAACACCATAAAACGTTCACATTTTTAAAACCAAACCCGAAAAAGGGGGGAGAGTTCCAACCCCAGGAACATCCCCTTGATCCACAATGTATGGTATAGGAATGCATTCAAATACTATAATGCTAAACAGATTTTAATAAAAACTACAAAAGTCACACTTATATCCATATACATTGTTTTTGAAAGGTAATTTAAAATTTATTGCAAAATTATAACTAGTTATTTGAATTTTGTTCTTTCCATCAATGGACACTAAGAAACCCTTTCAATCAATAAATGACAATGTTAAGATTTAACGTTGAAAGTAAGATAGCTTTGATTTGAAATTTCCTGTCTATTCAATATTAGATAACTACTGAAATTTGACAAATCAAAACAAAATTACAGTTTAAGTTACTAAGAAGCATTTATAATGTGACGTGTTGGAGAAAGTCAAAGTACACATACGTACATGTATACATAGCGTGGCTGTGTAGTTTAATAAAAAAAATGAAATAAATGTTTTTTTTTTTATAAAATGGTCATGCTTATAAAATAAACCCAGGGGAATATAAACCAATATATATTACTCTTAACATTTAAACACTTACAATAGATGCATTTCTATTTACAAATAAAATTTCAATAAAAACACAGTAGAAGCATCTTAGTGAATAAATGCGATTTTGTGTAAACGTTTGAAAAAAACAACCCAACTGTAAATGCTGTATACATATGACTTAATGGAGATCTGGCGTCACATCAATGGGATGAGACAACAGGCTATAAGTTGAGAATAAAGTCTAGATAATTAAACATAAATCATATAGCTATCAATAATTAAAATGACTTAAATGTTCACGTCCTACTTGTCCAAGAAATTTCACGCGTCTTTAAGATTCGTGTGTTCTGTTTTACCAAATGTTCACGAAAGAAATGTTGTCGCCAATGAATGCATGACAATATTTCCATCATTTATCGATGGTGTAATTGATAATGTAATGCAAACGTCGCGTAGTTATCTACATTTGTCCTTTCATATAGTTGATTCATATGAAATTGTAAGAAACGAATATCAGAATATCAGAATATCAGTTTAATATGGAAACATGTAATTATTTCCATAATGTCGCCAAATTTATCCATTTATCAGAAAGCTGTAGCACCTTCACGTATAAGAAGACTATTGTCCGATCTCCTGTTTACATCAAATATTGAAAGTTTTCTAGATTTTGCCGTACCATTCAAATTATTCTCAATTCTTGCTAATAACACGATTAATATGATAATAACTAAACACACAGCTATAGCTATTACTGCTCCAATAGCTACATTACCCTCTGAAGGACCAGCTCCTTGTTGTGAAGCACTTGCTGTAGAGGTATCTGTAGAATTACTGGCAGGGACGGGTGTCGTTGTAGGCGTCGTCGTATCTTCGGTTAGATTTGTAGTTCCAGTAGTTGTCAATGTCGTGTCCATCGTTGTATTCATTTTTGTTGTCGGTTCGGTACTTGTTGTCTGCATAGAACTAATTGTTGTTGGAGCTGTTGTCGTAATGTTTGTAGTTGTCTCCGATTGTTTTGTAGTTGTTGGCTCTTCTGTTGTAATAGTAGCCACTTCTGTTGCCGTTGTAGCCGTTTCTGTAGTTGTAATTGATGTTGTTGTAGCCGCACATGAGCTGTGTATACTATATAAAACCATTATAATCCAAACAAATACAACCTTTCCGTTCTTTTGTTTTAAGAATTCCATTTTTAAAGTTATCTCCAAGCAGTCTTCCTTAAAGTTTAAATTAAATGGAAAGGTAATGTTACGGAATCTTCCAAATTTATGTTTAAGATATTGTACATGGTACAGGTTATGACTTAATAAACTACAAAGACAGTTGTGAAATAATTTATGGCACTGCATGTGGGTGTATAGTTTATCAGGCAAATATATAATGTCTTTTCGAAAATATGTCGACTTTCTATAGAAAAAATGACTTGCACGTTTAAAAGACAGACTCAATATCAGTAAATTGGGGGGAAAATATTTTTATTATTATTTTAAAATTTTATCAAATAAGTAAGTAACAAAAGTACTTGAAGTCTTTTAGGTTTGTAATTTTGTGAAAAATATTTATCATTTCAATAAAACTTGAATATGAAGAGGCAATAAATGGCCAGTGTTTACTATGGCGTTATTTACCATCATATATATGTCATTAAATGATAACGTCTCGGTTTTATCAAAATCAAATACGGGTGCAGCTTTACTTTAAGTTTTCTTTAAATATTATCAACGTCTATTATCCTAGCATAATTATGGGAGGAAATATTTCAATATAAACACAGGACAATTTACATGTATAATATTGCAAATAATTATTCATGTAATAGTCTCTCATAATTCTCAATAAAATGGCACTTGTTAAGCTATAGATATTTTACTGTTTAATAAGTTTTAATATACAGTATGTTTTATATATGTATTTGAATGTGTTATGTTATACGCTATGTTTTATATGTTAATATGTGTATTTGAATGTTTTATGTTATACGCTATGTTTTATATGTTAATATGTGTATTTGAATGTTTTATGTTATACGCTATGTTTTATATGTTAATATGTTTATTTGAATGTTTTATGTTATACGCTATGTTTTAAATGTTTATATGTGTATTTGAATGTTTTATGTTATACGCTATGTTTTATATGTTAATATGTGTATTTGAATGTTTTATGTTATACGCTATGTTTTATATGTTAATATGTGTATTTGAATGTTTTATGTTAAACAAGTGGTGAGACTTTATTAAATATTGAATCTGAATCTGTATATAGAATTAAAAATATATGCTTACAATTCACTTTGCTATTTTAAAAGTCTGGTTGGGTGATCAGGAGTATAAAATAACATATATCCCATATTAAGTTTAATTTCATTGAATTTAGACATAATGAATAGCAATAGAAAGCTGTTTGGTAAAAAAAAAGTTAGTCTGAACAATTCTGATCATGTCAGATTTTCTCTATTCATAGGGGTTTTTAAGATAATTAACAAAACTTGCAGTTTACCCCCATCTTCTATTCTTAGCCATGTAAGGCCATCTTGGTTGGCAGGCAAGGCCATCAGACACTTTTTAAACAGTATACACCAATAATGATTGTGGCCAAGTTTGCTAAAATTTAGCCCAGTAGTTTCAGAGAAGATTTTTGTAAAAGTTAATAAACGAAGACGACAAGAAGATGACAACAACTGACGCCAAGTGATGAGAAAATAATAACATTCTTTTTAAGATGTTTAGAATACTTATGATACAATTAGCAACCTTGATAGTAAGCAGTTTTCAAATTCACTTAAAATACATAATTATGTCAAAAGAAGGTTTCGTACAATTGTCCTTCAACTTTTTTATGGTTAGATCCTAGCAACCTCACATACTTTGGATCAAGAAGTTATGTAATGTCAAATTTCACTTACCTTTCAGTTTACATTACATCATAATATATGTTATCCATGATGTTCATATCTTAAAATCTCATCATAAAATGTATAAATTCAGACAATTCTTTCTCATCAAGATACTTGTAAAACAACTCAACTTTTTATAACTTCCTGATTTTGATCAATTAAATGTTAAAATATTCTGACAGTGGTGAAAATGGTCTTCAGGATGATGTAGCTTTAAATATATATGGTGGTTGTAAATCTTTTTTTTTTTTAAATTAATAAAAGGATATGTAGGAACAATTAAATGTCAACCCAACAAACACAAAAATCAAACATCTAGATTTCAACAACAGAAAATAGTCTTTATAAAAAGATATCAAAAGGATATTAAAAACCATTAAAAAGTAAAAGAATAACACCCACAGAAAACTAGATCAGGGACCATGAACCCCAACAAAACTGACCCCAAATCTATCCAAGAGTAGAAAATGTGCATATCATTAATTTTTCAATGGTTTTTTTCTCATTGTTGAAGGCTGTATAGTTGCCTATAATTGCTTACATCCACTTCATTTGAACTTTCGTGGAAAGTTGTCTCATTGGAATTCATACCACATCTTCTAATTTTAATATATCAAAGATTAGCTGGACAACATCAAATTCTCTGAATAAATTAATTTCATGTTTAAAAGTGATCGACTGTCATTTGGTGGAAAGTTTTCTTATTGGCAATCATACCATATCTTTCTATTTTTATACAGAGATGCCTAAAATTACCAAGATATTAAGCAGGTCAGAGATATTAGTCAAGTCACAGATCTGACATTGCAATTACCATCAATATAATTTCATGAGTAGGTTGGTGAAATTTGTGATACTTGACATAGACTTCTCGTTTGAGTTATTTTACATTTGTCATTTCAGGGCCTTTTATAGCTGAATGCTGTATGGGTTTTGCTCATTGTTGAAGGCATACCACATCTTCTTACTTTTATATTTGGAGTAAAATGATGATCATCTATGGCAGAAGAGGCAAATGATGTCATGTCATCTTGTTTTGCTCTGTTTGAAGTTCTTGTGAATACACCTTTTAATTTTCATACCTCATTTATCTGGACACATGATATTAGATATAATATCAGTACACTGTTTTCCCTCTTCTGATACTTGATTAATTATAATATGGTTGATATTGATTCAAGAAATCCTCCTAGGTGAAACTTCATCTTCAATTCACTTGAAATTATTCATAGATGAAACAAGAATCAAATATCAAACAGATGTGCAGGACTGGGAAATATCAGGGTTACCTTTACTTCTGAATTCTTTGACAATGCTATGATGTCAAGTGTGTTAAATAATATTTATATGTATATATGCTTTCAGAATGTTATTTGTCATGCACTGCATGACAGATTTGTAAGAAGACTTCATCAGGCATTTTTGAAATTTAACATTGATTCCTTTATGTCCAACTTCAAAAAATTATACCAATAAATATTTATACCAAACCTTTGACTTTTTTAACAAACATGAACAACAAATTTTTAGCAGTATTCATTTATATTTCAAATCTTTTTTTCCAACAACTATTTCATCAACACATTAATATTCAACTCTTTACTTCTTGTATTAATAAAACATGCAAACATTTTTATTATATTCAATAAATAGTTTCATTTAGAAATGTCACCAGCAATTAAGCAGGAAGTTAATGTATAGTCACATCCAATAAATATGGGTGTATGATAAATCTTTTTGTTTTCATTGGCTTACCATTATATGCTTTTTTTAAACTAAAATGTATCTTAGTACATGTGCTACAAACAATTAAAATATTCAAATCAAAAACAAAAGTAGAATAGTACAGATAACTTTTCACAAATTGTTAAAGCATTTCAAATTGTCTGACAGAAAGTTTACAATTCTGTTATGTTAGAATTCCTCACATATGATGCATTTATATTGCACAAGCCCCTATATACAAATAAATTAAATGTATCTAGACAATAGGCAAAATGGTAGAAAAGTATTCATAATTTTAGAAGAATTAAAGCCTTAAAGGCTGTTAAAGCAATTGCTGCCAAGTTAATGTTTTTGTGACTTTTATTTTTCATCAAACATACAATATGTGCCATCGTCATATAATTTCGTTATATGGGGTATAACTGACAAACAAGAAATAAAATCGTCATTTCACAAACAACAAAAAACAGCTCCACGTTGCTTTTTTATCAACTTTCAGGAAACATGGTGAATAATATCTTCAAGCTCGAAACGTGAAATAAAATTGCAAACACGTCGACTTTAGCAGATCTGTGTTAAAAACGAAGAAGACTCGTTTACTGGAAAGACGAGGATATCAGTTTCATCATTTGTGCATTCTTGTTTTTGATATTCAAATGGACGAACTTTGTTTTTCAATCTATGAAACAAGAAAATTCTAAATTTTTTGTGAATATCTCTTACTTTTAACTTGGCGATTTTCACATTTGGACGGGTCCATTTCATACATAAGATGATCGATAAATCTTACGGAATTATGACAAAAAAGGAAAACAAACTTATTGTTATGTGTTTTCTGGTTTCGTTTCGTTCCGCAAAATTATTTGCGCAAACAAAGTTACTAGGTCAGTTATATTTGTCTATTTTTAGATACGTATAAATATAGAGAATCATTAGAGTTAATATGATATTTGACACTGTCATTATATCATTTGTTTACAGAGTGGAGTCTATTAGTATCAACAGCAATTAAGGAAACCCTTAATAATTAACAGGGCCCATTATTTCATGGAAGTATTAAAAATATGGTAAGAGTAATCAGAACGCGTAAACTGTGCTACTTTTAATTAAAAACAAATAATGTGAGATAAGATTACATCACTATAACGTGCGTAGTGATTTTACGATAATTTTATGAATGAACAAGAGCAACTTGACCTCTTTCAAAAACAAACACGAATTAAACAACATAAAACTGTATAAGAGATAATTCAGTCAAATGTTCAATATCAAATCAACAACTGACATTCATATTCAATATTTTGTTGAAACATCTCAAGAACGAAATCGCAGGTATAAAAATGCACTTTTTTCACTCGGAATTCTATGTTCTTTGATAGTCAAACAGTTGTCCTTTTAAATGCAAAAAATACATTTACAAGAACAGATGTTGAAACTTCTCAAACCCACTAATGCTTTTCAACTGTTTCAATTAATGTATTTCATTAGAAAACATACATAAAAGTATTAGAATGACAGACCAGGAATCTGCTTAAAAAAACTTTGGCTTGATCTGGGCAGAGTCTCTAATCTGGGTCCAGATGTCTATACGCTATAGCATGAAAGCAGTTGCTTTAAAAACTAAATCAAGCCAAAGCAACTAAATTAATTTGGACTAATAGAATATTAAAAAAAAAACAATAGTTAAATTTACAAGTTGAAAAATATGTCTGTACATTTTGGAAGCTTATAATTAGCATCTGTTTTGCCTAGAACACTCAGGTCTTGTTAAACAATTACATGGTCCGTTATGATTAGGTCACAAAATTGGAAACAAAAATATTAAATCAGTGTTGAGTTATCTCCCCTTGTTTGTACAATGCAGTGCATACAATTTTTATCTCTATGATTAAAATAAAATTAGGGGAATATATCAATGTGACAGAAAAACAATAATATGCAAAGAGAAATTAATATTGAAATAAATCTCAATCATTGTTTCAAAGTCTGAAAAAAATACTATTTTGTTGTAATTCTGTATGTTTCCCAATATTGCACTACCTGAAACTTGCATAGATATGAAAATAATAATCATATATTTTATTTTGAAAGCAGCCTTTAAACATGCCCATGTTATATCATTGTGTGCAATATGATAAAATGATATGTGGGGTATTATCAATGAGACAGCAAACCAACAACACAAAAAAACAAAACACATCTATAATACATTGATAAAATTTGTTCCACAAAGAAAGGGCATGTTTAAAGGTTTTTATCAAGACTAAATATTTAAATGCAAATCGTTCCTAATTTTTGCATAGTTTACCACTTTTCATTACATAAAGAATTATAGATGTTTATCTACTTAAAATTTAATTTCAAATAATTACATTGATTTACTTTTTTCTATTAAAATGATAAAATTATCAATTCTGGCATAGTCTCTGAAAAAAAAACCAAGATAAAAAAGAATTAAGTTTTATTGTCTTGTCTTAAGATATGTCTTATGAAATAGGCAGTTACACTGTATTTATCAAATGCTTTCAAAAGCTAATTACTACACAAAAACTAGATAAATTTCTAACAGTTTACATGAATCTAGTTTAATACAATAATTGTAACACATACATTCTCTCAAACATTTTCATACAAAAACAAATCATTGGCCATTGTTCTCAATCAGTAGTATAAATAAATAAATTCTCTTCAATCAAATTACAACTGCACATTTTTTTCACTACTAATGAGCCCATAAAATTCACTCTCGTGTTCAAAATGTTTTTTTTTATTTATATAAGTCAATAAATCCTCTGATTTCTTTAGAACAAATAGATAATGTACAATTGAAATTAAATATAGAATAATGACATTCTTGTTTTATATTCCGACTCTATCGGCAAGTATATTGGCCTGCTATGACGAGCTGATACTTGAGCTTCAGAAATCTGTATCAAAAAATAAAATGCCATTATTTATTTTATCTGCAATATGTCTTGATTTCAAGGATTTTTTGGTTAAGAATATGAAATTACATAAAAGTAGTTAGTAAAACATATCTTTTTTTTCCCTTTTAGCAGAAATAGTCAATGAATGGAGTCAATACATTCCTCCAAACACATAGCAATCCTCATGTTGTTTGACAGTCAATATAATGTTTAATCACATCAGCTATACATTAACAGGTTGAGATATTCTGGGAATTGGTCTTGGACTTGGTTGTTCTAGACCACGCCCTCTCATATTCTTCTGATCTAATTCCTTTTGTAGCTCCTCTACCTTTTTGGTGAGTTGTTGCTTCAGAATCAGTAACTCTCTATTCCGAAGATGAATAGGCTCCTGAAGAATACAAATAATTCATACAGAAAAAAAACAACAATAACAAAAAATCAAAGGGCAAAAGTACTAAATATGTTTTGATGAACATGCTACTGTAAATTCAGAAATTATTGCGAGGTTTTTATTATTGCGAATAATGCGACTCGGTGAGTCTCGCAATAATAAGAACTCACATTCTGATAGATGATATATATATCTGTATGCAGATTTTCCTGAAATCGAAATAATTAATCTCGCATTTTTGTCCTTTCTTCAAAAATCGCAATAATAAATTCACGCATTAATTTCTGAATTTACAGTATTAAGCTGAATATAATGAGAATTCACGGTTAATAAAAGTAGAATTTATTAAGGAACATAGATTCCAACTCCCTCAGGTAAAGTTGACCTAAAGTGGGTTTGGCTATTTATTATCTCTTTTGATCATATAGCTCCTCGTGTATTCAAGTATTTATACATCCCTAGCTTTTCATGTTTTGTTTTTAAGGGCGTCGTTCCTGATGAAGGAAAATCCACAAAATGGCTTTAGAAACACAAAATTTTCATTTAGAAATTTTCAAATGAACACCCACATGGCCTTCCCTAAGACTGGAAATCAATATTTATCCTGCATTTTGGTGTCTTATTATACATTTACAACCCAACAGATATGGCTCTGCTATAATTGTGCACTATATGTTTGTTGTTTTAAGCTCCGCCCACACAAAATCATGCTTAAACTAGATGGTGTCAGTACTGAAGCAGGAGAAATAAAAATAATCACACAATGTAAAGAAGTGTTTTATTTTTGTTTATTTTTATTCATATTAATTGTTATGTTACAAAAAATAATTATTTACTTGAAGCAATTTATTTTTACATGAGCATGAGTGATTCTTTCCTGTGTACTGATCATCTTTTTTATTATTCAGCTTATATATATAGGAAGGCCATAACCTATCTAGTTTACATAGTTTCACTTCATTGATGTTTGTTATTCAGTTTTTCATTCAATAGAATGAGGCCATATCACATTGAGTTTTAGTTTATATAAATATATGAACAAATTAGATATGCCATACAAATTGTTATCTCAAAGCTCCAGTTCCATATGTATTGACAAACAAATCTGCAATCATTTCTTTGTTCTTCTTGAAATTTGTGTTTTCTTGATATAAAGTCATGTTTTTTTGGAAGAAGAAATCAGACAATTTGGGATAAAACATCATCCTTTGTTTACAACTTCTCAAAATACAGGCTGACAAAGCATACCTAGGTATTTTTAAAAGTGGGGACAGGGTCTCAAACTGTAATGTTAATGATGGGCTGAAATCATTTGTAAAGATTGATGTCAAAACATTTACCTATACCAAATAGCAAATAAGGTTTTACGTAACATCAACTGTAGAATGTTTTAATCAATATTGACATATATTGTCAGCATATCATTTTAATGTTAAACAATCATGCACAGGCATGTAAATATGTAATCTGTAAAACTTTGCATTTTGGATAAAATCAGCTCTTGCCTTTTGTAATTTATCTCTATTTTAAACAAAAGTCATTGATTCTAGAAAACCTTGTTTTTCATTACTCCTTAAATTTGTCCTTCTATCAGTGTGCATTATGATCCTTACATTCCCCCTTTTATCAGTGTTATATGATTGTCCCTACCTGTGGCCTCATTCTAGGATTCCACCTACAGTAGTATGCTGTCCACAGCTCTAACCTCCTCATGCTAGCTACAGGGAACAGTACATGTTTGTGGAGATAAGAGGCATACAATGGGTTGGTAAATTCCTCCAGCTGACAGTTCACAAACGACCATAATGACACAGTTTTCTCTTTCAGTTTCTGTAACATTCAAAGCAAAATAATATTGTTGCGTAAAATTAGTATATAATAAATTGTTAACTTTAAAAGCCACTTTCTGTGGAAACTAAATGGAAATCATAGGAAAGAAGTTAGTAAATAGTATTATCATATACCTAGAGAAAATAACATATATTTCTTACAGTATGATAACAGCATTAAATCAACGTGAATTCCATATTTTTCCGAAATGGTGTTTAGCGGGCTGATATGAAAAATTTATCACATGCTTCGATTATTATCACATGCCTTTCCGTAACGTTATCACATGGCATTCCGGCAATACTCTGCAAATTCTGGAAAATACACCTCAATTGTACGTTTTCAGTGAAAAACAATACAAAGTAAGGTACAAAACAATTATTTGGATACTGGAAAGTGTATTGTGTAAAATGAAAAAAAAAAAAAAACAAATGATAAAATAATTGCATTTTTAAAAGTTTCAAATATAATTTAGAAAGTTACTTTAAAATTGTTGACTTTTCCAAAGTGTTCGTTATGTATATTGTTGAATTATTTTTTTATCGTCCATATTAAAATATATCATACTGCTGTTTTCCTTTTCTTTTTAGGCATATGCTAGAAAGATTTCATATCGAATTTACTACATTTGGGGTCCGACGTCCATGAACTTTTCACTCTCTGAACTTCTATTTGAGAACCACGTAAAAGGATCAATAAATTAATCTTTTATTTTTCTCCATTGTTGAAGCATATGATAAAAAGATCATAACATGTCATTTTTCATATCGCATGTATTATCAGCCCTCGGTCAATATCAGCCCTCAAGCCATGCGGCTCTTGGGCTGATATTAAAACCTAGGGCTGATAATACATGCGATATGAAAAATGACATGTAATAATCTGATATGATCATTTACTGAAAGCTTCTGTACTTCATGAACTGACATACAATGTTCTCATAAGACTAATTAACCCTGACATATGTTTATGTGCCTGTTGAATGACAGGAAACTCATCAGTGTTTTTTGGTCTATTTATGATTTCATGTTGATGCCAGATTTTTGGTTCTCTCTGGTGAATTTAATTGAATAGATTCAAGGCATTTTCAAGCTTGTTGTGTAGTCTGGACACTTGTCCATCATTGTATCATGGCTTTCAAATATCTATTTTGATTATCTTGTGTGGATTCATTTATTTTCTTGGGTATCGATTTTTTAGGATTGAGGTAAAAAAACAGGCCTCTACAATAACTTCTTTTTCAACTTGTCCAGTAGGACAAGTACATACCAAAACTTACTTGTCCGAATGAAATTGTAACTTGTCCAAAAAAATCTTAATAATAACCTTTTTTGCATTTTAAGTTGATTCAAGGAACAAAATGAATTAAAACAATAGAACAGAATTTGATTTATATCTTTTGAAATACTATTCAAAAATATGAGTCGAATACAACTGAATCTAGTCATGTCACAGGACTTAGGTTCTACATGTAGTTCATCAATGCCAATGTCTCATCAGATTCTGCACATGAGGCACCGTCTGATAGGGCTGTCCATGTACACTCATTGGATTTGTATCCTGGTTTTTTTAAAAGTTGAAAAAAGTTTATTCAAATGCAATCAATAAAAAAAAAAGATGAGGTATAATTGCCAATGAGACAACTCTCTGCAAGAGACCAAATGACACATAAATTAACAACTATAGGTCACCGTATTGCAAGTATTGTTTTTTTCTACATATGATCAAATATGATTTTGTGAATTTAATGGTAAATAATTTTTCATTTTTATCTAAAAAATATTTTTGTTAAAAAAATTACCGGTATGTTATTTATTATAAAGCAACAGAATAAGGTAGGAAAACGAGGTACTGATTTGTCTTGGTCCCGAAATGTCTCCTGCGTTGCCAAACTGTCTACTAATCATGTCTATTAAATATGTCTCCTATGGTGCCAAACTGTCTATTAAACATGTTAAACTTGGAGCCGAATCGTTTCTGAGCTTGTGACGAACTGTCTTGTAAAGTTACCTTATCTACAAAGCACATCGCTGATTCGGATCAATAAGACTGGTTTCCGAGAATAGTATGCGTTTTACCTGTTAAAAAGTACCTGACAAAGAACCAGTTTTAAATTATCGATTGCAAGTAAACATGTCTTGTTTTCATCCTCTTTTCTTGTTTTTTGTTTATAATTACTTTGTTCATCAAAGTTGGATAAAATTTACTTTCTGCAGAATAATTTTACTTGTCCCGTCGGACAAGCTTGATATAGTTTTTACTTGTCCGACCCTTTTTCCCTCTGGTACCGGACAATCGGACAAGCGTTATTGTCGAGCCCTGAAAAAAGTGTTGTAAATGCACGTAGACAAAGGTAACAGCTGATTTGAGGCGATTGTTACAAATGATCTAACCATACCTCTGTCATCCTGGCCTGTTCACAGTTACACAGGAAGGTTCCAAACAAACAGCTGTATAAATGGTCCAATATGGTTATCAACATGTGTTCATTAAACTCAAAGGCATTGGGAAACTGAAATAAAATCAAGCAAATGGAATAATACAATTTCTCTAATTCTATGGAAATTTATCCCTTTCCGAACCCATTGTATAAAAAAGTTTAATCAACGTGTGGTTGTTGTCGATCTCAGAAGATGATTGGATGAGGGGGTCATAACCTTTATCAGCACACTGGATGTATCATAATATGCCAACAGGTGTTAATGAAATTGACAACTTCGGGGAATGTGGAAGGCACTCGAAGGGGACTTTCGTTTAACAAAAAAATGAAAATTTATTTATTAATCATTAGAGAAACAGATTCTTACATAGTTACTCGTGGATTATTGGATTTATCCAATCTCGATAGTTTAATTATAAATTTAACTATCTCGATTGGATAAATCCGATAATCCACTGGTATCAATGTTAGAATCTATATTTATCAAACAGTTAAACATAAAATATGTAGACTACCTTTTTAGAGACACATTTTTTATAGATATTTAATCTGCATAAATTATTTTACATAATATCTTTTCTTATTAGTTTGTTTTGTTTTTTTACCTGTTTAGTCATCTGCCATACACAGTCTATAAACTGTAGAAAACCCAGATATTTACCTGTTTAGTCATCTGCCATACACAGTCTATAAACTGTAGAAACACCAGATATTTACCTGTTTAGTCATCTGCCATACACAGTCTATAAACTGTAGAAATACCAGATATTTACCTGTTTAGTCATCTGCCATACACAAGTCTATAAACTGTAGAAACACCAGATATTTACCTGTTTAGTCATCTGCCATACACAGTCTATAAACTGTAGAAACACCAGATATTTACCTGTTTGGTCATCTGCCATACAGAGTCTATAAACTGTAGAAACACTGGATATTTACCTGTTTAGTCATCTGCCATACACAGTCTATAAACTGTAGAAAACCCAGCTATTTACCTGTTTAGTCATCTGCCATACACAGTCTATAAACTGTAGAAAACCCAGCTATTTACCTGTTTGGTCATCTGCCATACACAGTCTATAAACTGTAGAAACACCAGATATTTACCTGTTTAGTCATCTGCCATACACAGTCTATAAACTGTAGAAAACCCAGCTATTTACCTGTTTAGTCATCTGCCATACACAGTCTATAAACTGTAGAAAACCCAGCTATTTACCTGTTTATTCATCTGCCATACACAGTCTATAAACTGTAGAAAACCCAGCTATTTACCTGTTTAGTCATTTGCCATACACAGTCTATAAACTGTAGAAACACTGGAGATCTGTCAGCATCAGAATGTTTATCTTCACCGTGACCATATCTCTGGAAAAGTTAAAAACAAATAGAGATGTGATATAATTACCAATAAAAATATAGTTTATTTCTAGGTTGTTATCTTGTTTACAGTTTTCTCATGATCATCTCCTAATATTCATATCATTTTTTTTTTAAATACACAATATGGGAGGGTGGGGGGAGATCTCGATTCGTGTTAAATGAATAATGTCTATCAAAGACTAATCATTAGACTGGGATTGTTCATTCTCAAATTAAAGATGGTCTCCTCAGTCAATTTTGAGAACTCGTGACTAATTGCTGTACATGTAATCTCCATGGAAATGAAACTTGCAAATGCCAATACATTTGCATACCAAATATCATTGACTTTACATTAGTGGTTCATCTTAAACTGACCTAATCACAAACTAAAACATGAAAACTTAGCAAAAGTTTCAAAGTCAATAGACCATGAATGAGGGGGTGGGGCCAAATAATCTCCATGGAAATGAGATATGCCAATGCTTATACAACTGCATACCAAATATCATTGACCTATCACTAGTGGTTCCCCATAAACTGACCTAATCACAAACTAATACATGTAAACTAAGCAAAGTTTCAAAGTCAATAGACCTTGACTGAGGGGCGGGACCAAATAATCTCCATGGTAATGAGATGTGCCAATTCTAATACAACTGCATACCAAATATCACTGACCTACCACTAGTGGTTCCCCATAAACTGACCTAATCACAAACTAATACATGTAAACTAAGCAAAGTTTCAAAGTCAATAGACCTTGACTGAGGGAGCGGGGCCAAATAATCTCCATAATAATGAGATGTGCCAATGCTAATACAACTGCATACCAAATATCATTGACCTACCACTAGTGGTTCACCATGAACTAGACCTATTAAATCACAAACTAATACATTGTTGACGCCGCCGTCGCCGACGCCGGAAACAGCATACCTTTGACTCTGTCAAAGCAAGACAAAAACAAACAGAGGGTATATCTATGATATTTTTATGAGCATTTCATAAAATTTCATCTTACCAGCTAAATTATATATTTCATAAGAACATAAATATTGAAAAAAAATAAACAGTAAGTTGTTAGCATGTGTCAAATATATTATTTGCTTATTAAAACACAGCATATATTTAATACAAAGCTAACAAAGGATTTCATTTCAGATTCTACCATAGACACGGATGTCAACAACTACAGATCACCTTACGGTCTTCAACAACGAGCTTAACCCATACATGGTGTTGATTTCAGTTCTCATCAGTTGATACGCAACTCCTATATTTAGTTCAAACAAATGCTTTCCATATAGTTTGAGGTGAAAAGTTTGATGATGACCCCTTATTGTAGTTTGTCTTATATTTTTGAGTCGGTAGTTGGTAGGGTGTAGTTTGTTGTACTGTGGGTCGTTGGTCTGGTTTTTGGAGTCGGTTGTTGGTGGGGTGTAGTTTGTTGTACTGTGGGTTGTTTGTCAGGTTTTTGGAGTCGGTAGTTGGTGGGGTGTAGTTTGTTGTACTGTGGGTTGTTGGTCTGGTTTTTGGAGTCGGTTGTTGGTAGGGTGTAGTTTGTTGTACTGTGGGTTGTTTGTCTGGTTTTTGGAGTCGGTTGTTGGTGGGGTGTAGTTTGTTGTACTGTGGGTTGTTGGTCTGGTTTTTGGAGTCGGTTGTTGGTGGGGTGTAGTTTGTTTTACTGTGGGTCTTTTAGCGATTCTGTTATCCATATTTTGTTTTATTCTATATAAACTGTACAATAACAAACCTGTGCAAATTTATGACCAAAACTCAACCATTCTTTTTCTATAAGAACTTCAAATCCCCTTATTGTTCTGTAGTAAGGATCTAGCATTAACATGGCTAAACATGTCAACTGAAATAAGAGTAAATAACATTATGCAAATTAAAATTATGTTATAGGGATGTGACAAATTGTCCAAAGATGCTAATTAAGAACTGTTTAAATGTGTATTTCAGTATTTTAAATCTTCAAACAGGTTTTCTTGCCAATTCAAGATTTTTTTCTTTGTACCTTAGCATACAATGTAAAACATATTCATGTATTTAATCATATGACATAATAGTATTTAAAATAATCTTATCTTTACCATGATTTTATATAACTGAGATTGAACCTGTATGACAGAATTAACAAGGAGAGTTGATACATACCTGAGCTGTTCTATCCCATCCATCACTACAATGAACTAATACTGATGTTTTCTGACATTCAACTTTATCTGCAACTCTCAAAGCACCTGCCAATATTTGCTGAAAACATACAAAGATAATAATGAGAATATCATTATTCAAAATATTTCCAATGTGCAAAACATGAATTCAAAATATACTTTAATTTCTGGATAGTGTTGTATATAAAATTGAATTCTATCTGGGAATATTATGAAAACTGAAAATTAACGTGTAGATACATTCCTTGTCTTGATGTTGCATTGCTTATGCAGACAAACAAATAGTTCTGTAAATATCCATTTATTTTCATTTTAAGTTTTTACAGAATTTATGGTACTGATGCATAAATGGTTTGGTGCCAGCAAACTAGTTTAACCCCACCACATTCTGTATATGCCTGTTCCAAGTCAGAAGCCTGTAACTCAGTGGTTGTTGTATGTTGATGTATATCATATTTGTTTTTCCATCATTGTTTAATACACAAATCAGGCCGTTAGCTTTCTAGTTTGAATTGTTTTACGTTTGTCATTTCAGGGCCTTTTTTAGCCGATTATGTGGTATGGGTTTTGCTCGTTGTTGAAGGCCATATGGTGACCTATAGTTGTTAACTTCTATATCAATTGGTTTCTGATGGAGAGTTGTTTCATTGGCAATCATACCACATCATCTTATTTTTTTATTTTTACAACTCTACCAACGCAATCCACAAAAATTATTACTGCACATATAACTTTGAATACAAAGTATCTGATAAATTCAAAATTGTTCATGTTCTTTATTATACCTTAATATGGTCAAGCCAATGTGTTGATTCTACGTTAGATAACCAATGAGCATCATCTATGGTTGGAAATACAACATCACGTAACTTTCTTAAACTGAAATATAAAAAGTAAAGCCTCAGTCATGATAATTATCATTATAATATAATGATTAGAAAAGTAATTGATTAGAATAATTGTCAATTATACTTTGAATTACTGGTCATTTCAATGAATGTTCTCCCTGGATATTTAGTAACTAAGATAACAGGGATACAAATGTCATGTTTGAATACTGTAAATCCAGTAATTTGTTCAAGATTCTCTGTAGCAGAATATAACACTTGCTGATGGTAAATATTCCAGGACACAAGTTGAAAAAAATAAAAAAGAGGAGAAAGATACCAAAGGGACATAACTGATGATTTAGCAGACCACAATTCAAAGCAATTGCTGGTAAATAACTAGAAAACAGGTTATATGCACTTAATGATAAATATTAAATTAGAAGCATGATAAATCAAATATCTGTTTCAGAAAAGGAAATCAAAGCGCGAAAGCGCTGTAAAGGCAGTTAATTACAGGTTGTGTGTATTTTTAGTCCAGTTATATCATTATCTTGCATAATACATTGTACTTATTAGAAGTGGCTTTCAGTATTTAAGATTTAGAGTTCTCTAATGATATTGAACAAGTTTTATGAATGTCATATTCTGAGCACTATATGAAAGTGATTGTTCTCACTTGTTTATGAACTAGTGCATTATGTCCAGTTTGTACCTTTTTTATCTATGTTTATAGTCAAATACTGTTTAAAATAGTTTGGCATTTTCTTTTTAGTAATAAGTAAATGTTATCAACTGTATTTTATTCAACTTTGCAAATGTGGTTTGTTACTGGTGAGTACAATGTATGGATGATAGTTGTTTCATTGGCAATCATAACACATCTCCTTATTTATATAATGATCTATATTCAATGACCTCAGGTACAAAAAAAATGTATGTAACTAAACTATGATGGGAAACCTTTGACTTCTTTCTTTTATATAAACTTTTGATTTGGTACCATATAACTATGTAGAATAAATGTACATTGCAACATGTCAACTCTTCCAATGACAATACTTTTTTTAGAAACTATAACTCCAAGCAAAATTATATTTCCAAGTATAAAGTAATTTATGAATGAAACAAGAGTGCACACGCCGAAATGTCTCGCCTTCTTTACTAATCATTGATATTATGTTGATAGTCCTAAATATAAAGCTTTATTACAACTGTCACATAAACTTAACATTAACCAAGTAAACTAAACATTGACCAATGCACCAAGAAAATGAGGTCAAGGTCAGATGAACCATGCTAGGCAGGCATGTACAGCTAACAATTCTTCCATACAACAAATATAGTTGACCTATTGCTTATAGTTTAAGAAAAACAGACCAAAACACAAAAACTTAAAACTGAGCAATGAACCTTGAAAATGAGGTCAAGGTAAAATAAAAAACCTGCGTGACTGACAAATAGATCATAAAATATTTCCATACACCAAATATAGTTGAACTATTGCATATAGTATTAGAAAAAAAGACCAAAACTCAAAAACTTAACTTTGACCACTGAACCATGAAAATGAGGTCAAGGTCAGATGACACCTGCTAGCTAGACATGTACACCTTACAATCATTCCATACACCAAATATAGTAGACCTAGTGCATACAGTATAAGAAAAACAGACCAAAACACAAAAACTTAACTATAACCTCTGAACCATGAAAATGAGGTCAAGGTCAGATGACATCTGCCAGTTGGACATGTACACCTTACAGTCCTTCCATACACCGAATATACTAGACCTATTGCTTATAGTATCTGAGATATGGACTTGACCACCAAAACTTAACCTTGTTCACTAATCCATGAAATGAGGTCGAGGTCAAGTGAAAACTGTCTGACGGGCATGAGGACCTTGCAAGGTACGCACATACCAAATATAGTTATCCTATTACTTATAATAAGAGAGAATTTAACATTACAAAAAATCTGAACTTTTTTTTCAAGTAGTCACTGAACCATGAAAATGAGGTCAAGGACATTGGACATGTGACTGACGGAAACTTCGTAACATGAGGAATCCATATACAGAGTATGAAGCATCCAGACCTTCCACCTTCTAAAATATAAAGCTTTTAAGAAGTTAGCTAACGCCACCGCCGGATCACTATCCCTATGTCGAGCTTTCTGCGACAGGCTCGACAAAAAGGAGTTCTTAATTAAGAAATAAACTGATTCGCTGAGTGCAGCTGGATACACCCGCAGATGTCCAACCCTGAACAGTTGGGGCAAAAATGGACACAATATTCAAGCTTGATACAGGTCTGAATTTGGATTGTAATTAAATATTTGACATATTATAGTTTCTGAATAAATGTAGTCAAAGAACTTGAAATTGGTTATATGAATTGAATTTATATTCAATTAAAGATTTCTTGCTGTTGTGCAATACACTGTGCTGTTGCGCAATACTTAATAAATCTGTTGCCAGACTATAAACAAATAAAGTTCAATTTCTTCTCAATGTCATATTTGAAATTTATGAAAATCAATAGGGAGATTACATCAATAGCTATAAATAATTCACCAAAGTTTCATGCGAACTGCTTAAAGCATTTTTGAGTTGTTGTCCAAAAACTGGAAAATCCCCCCTTTTTTTAATTAATAAAACCCCATAACTCAGTAATGTAAAATCTAAAATTTATAAAATTCTAAAGGGAGCTTACGGATTGATAATTTAGTCTTAGATGCAACATTTTTTTATCAGTTGTTAGTGGCTTTGAACTACCTGTCAGTAAATGCGAGTACTCTCAGATCTGTACTTAGTGTCTTTTTGTTGTTTGGATGTACAACTACCCGGTCACGTCCACTTGTATTTGTATTTATCCATCTGATGAGTAAAGCCTCTTTCAATTGATTTTTATAGTTCATTCTTATATTGTACTGTTACACCACTGTCCCAGGTTAGGGGGTGGGTTGGGATCCCGTTAACATGTTTAACCCCGCCACATTCTGTATGTACGTGTATGTGCCTGTCCCAAGTCAGGAGCCTGTAATTCAGTGGTTGTCGTTTGTTAATGTGTTGCATATTTGTTATTCGTTCATTTTTGTACATAAATTAGGCCGTTAGTTTTCTTGTTTGAATTGTTTTACATTGTCATTTTGGGGCCTTTTATAGCTCACTGTGCGGTATGTGCTTTGCTCATTGTTGAAGGCCGTACTGTGACCTATAGCTGTTAATTTCTGTGTCATTTGGTCTCTTGTGGAGAGTTGTCTCATTGGCAATACCACATCTTCTTTTTTATATTTACATCAACAGATATAAACAATTCACCAAGTCAAGGTGAGACAACAAAACTTAGTTGTAAGATCTCTGAAATTTTTTACACGGTACAAGTTTTTCTCATTGTTGGAGATTGTACGGTGACAGTAACACCTGTAACTGCTTAACCCATTTCTTATGCACTTTGGTTTGATAAACTCACTGAATATCATACCACATCTCCTTATTTATATATGCATTACAATTTACATGTGCATGTAATTGTAAATATATATATATCAGAACAAACTTCATTGCGTCACTTTTATTTATGCATCCTTTGGTACAATACAAGTTCTAAACATGCTAAAATTACACAACATAAAACAACTAAATGTTATTTCAGATGAAAGTTTTGTTTCAGTTCCATTCATAGGATTTATTAGAATTTTGTATGTTTTGCCAAGTCCAATAATTAGCTCTATGTGCACGTGTTAATTGGAGACTTTTCTATCCCGTATAAGAGTTTTGGAACTAATTCTGTTTCTTTTTTTGAAAAAAGTGAGCAAACAAATCTTGCACATTTAAACCTTTGTCTGCCATCACACTGTCACCTGGATCACATAATTGAACTATTCTACATCTTTCAACTATTTCACAGTCACTGGTACAACCAACATATGCATTAGAGACATAGTTGACTAAACCACCAGGTGTCGAAAATACAAGTATTTTCAGTGTTTCTGTTTTTATATGATGAAAAGGTTGCCTGAGCTCTAGGAGCTTTAGGTTTTATCACGGGATATTCTGTGCTGTCAATAATAATCTAAGTTGTAGGAAACTTTAATTTGAAGTTGGATGGTGAAAAATACCTGACTAAACCACTAAATGGCCAAGTGTTAATAGCCTCACGCCACTGTTTAGACATAAAAACAATCCATGTTTACACAATATTCTTAACACTAGTTTCAATCTAGAATCTAGACAGTTCAAAGTTGGTTGTATAATGCCTCAATTTCATCAAAGTCATAAAAAAACTGATTTTCAAATGACACCCTATCAATTTGAAAATATATGCATCTCAAACAATGTGCTGCTGGACCAAGTGTGGTCAAAACAAATAAAAATTTAGTATACAACTCTAAACCGGTATAAAAATGCAAGGCTGTGTCACGTGTCTTCATTTCAAAATTCTCTGCTGAAAATATAGGCATTGCGTAATTCCATCTGTGAAGCTCAACATTAGCTCGGCAGTTGGTGGTGGACAGTCATAAATCCTGTCTGCAGTATGAATGACTTCTTCAGGAAAACCAACTTTACAATCAAAACTTTCCTCTAGATTTCTACTACAATATTCATCAAGCTTAGTTCTTTTGTTTTCACAGGAAACTGCCCTGATTTTTCCTTTTGCGGACGATTCAGTCTCTTGCTTGGTCCAGGAAAATAGGCTGGGAATGGCAGTAGACTTAAGTCTCTGTATGGTGGGTTTGCGCCCTGAAAAAGGTTATAAAACATTAGTTTTTTGATAATTAAATGAACTTCCATTTATAGCAATGCATACTTTGTACTACCTGGCAAAATATTAACTAAATTTATTCATTACAATTTGGATAAAACTATGTTAGCCTGATTCAATGTACTTCAAAATGTATGTTATGTAAATCCAAAGGACAAACAATGAGAGACTTATGCAACAAACGTACATTGTTTGTACCTAAATAACTATAATATAGATGAGAGCATGTCATTGTTTTGTTCCTGTTAACATTGTCATTGATATTTTTCAAGAAAGTCTATGAGGCATAGCTTATGCATTCCTGTCATTACTACATTAGCAAAATTACTGCTAAAATAATTCTCAGTATGATATACCTCTTGTAAGAAATCATTATAATTGTAGCAAGCACCAACAAATCTCAAACAGATCACGTTGAATCGTAATCCAAAAAATTATGACGTCTTGAATTAATCACCCCCTTTTATTCTAAAACGATAATTGCGGTTGTAAACAGACTTTGGTTTAGTCGCATGGCGATTACATATATAACTATATATCTTAAAAAGAAAATAGAGTTTTACCATGAATAGTTTCCTGCACGTAGTCTTTTTCAGTAAAATGTGGCTTGCAAACAACAGCTGATTGAGATGGACTCCACGATTTCATCGTGTTCTCGTCCAATCTGCGTATGGGCCATGGCATTGATCCAACTTTTCCTTCTTTTTAAGTCATTTGGAAATGCATGTCCTCCTCTTAAATGACATCCAGGTACACAACAACAAGTACTTGGCATCGTTAATTAAAAATTCAACTGTAATAGTTAGTATGCACAGTGCAGAAACCGGAAGTTTAAGAACAGGATCGGCTACCACGGCGCCACCTATTCAGGAACGATAATTTGCTACTTTATATAAAGTTCTGCGAAATAACAATAACGTTAGACGGGTTCACGTGCATAAACAGAAATGCGCTTTAAATTGTATAATATAATTCATGTTCAGTCGACCTTTAATTATTATATCAACGACTGAAATGATTTTTAAACATCTAGATTGCAGATAACACTCGAAATTAACTCGACCTCTTTCCACACGGAATTCAAATAATTCTAGTTTGTCAATCGGTTGACTGCTTATAATGCAAAATACAAATATATCAAAAGTTTTTAAAACTAACAAAACACAATGATCGTTTCTCTATTTCCCAATGTAAATGAGATGAAACAAAAAACATTTTATATCACAATAAGAAGAGGAGAGAATCAACATTTTCCGGATCTACTTGGAGCCTAATGACCCCCCACGTAGATAAGTTGGATATCGCGGAAAGAAAGATTAACACGTCAACTAGAAAGGCATTAAAGCACTGCCTTGAAAAACCAACCACTAACATAAAGCTTACCTGTCTTTCATAACATGTATATTGTGTATATCTAAAAACAGTATTTCTGCATTCTGGTAAGATTCTTCTCTTTCATAGCCACCACCTTTAGCCTGAAAATAATTTAAATCAAAAATCTGCAGTCAAACTATTAAACAAATTAAGTATGGTTTAAGTCAGATCTATCTTTTTATATGTTGAACATGTAACTTGTCATTTTAATAGGTGCCAATGACTTTTATCTGTTTCAGTCTTAACCAACCATATCAGTCAAAGCATTAACACAATGACCTTGACCTTTTCGGAAGTCTATTAGCCATCACATGTAAACAATTTCTATAATTTGATTATCACTGTACCATATTAGCGAGTGCATTAACACTTGGTCTTGCATCCATGATATATAACTTGTGACTGAGATAATTAACGTACCATATTAGCGAGTGCATTAACACTTGGTCTTGCATCCATGATATATAACTTGTGACTGAGATAATTAACGTACCATATTAGCGAGTGCATTAACACTTGGTCTAGCATCCATGATATATAACTTGTGAGACTGAGATAATTAACTTACCATATTAGCGAGTGCATTAACACTTGGTCTAGCATCCATGATATATAACTTGTGAGACTGAGATAATTAACTTACCATATTAGCGAGTGCATTAACACTTGGTCTTGCATCCATGATATATAACTTGTGAGACTGAGATAATTAACGTACCATATTAGTTAGTGCATTAACACTTGGTCTGGCATCCATGATATATCACTTGTGAGACTGAGATAATTAACCTTCCATATTAGCGAGTGCATTAACACTTGGTCTTGCATCCATGATATATAACTTGTGAGACTGAGATAATTAACCTTCCATATTAGCGAGTGCATTAACACTTGGTCTAGCATCCATGATATATCACTTGTGAGACTGAGATAATTAACCTACCATATTAGCGAGTGCATTAACACTTGGTCTTGCATCCATGATATATAACTTGTGAGACTGAGCATTAGCATCCATTATCATCTGTATATAGGCCTCATCTTCTTTGTTCCTTCTGTTAGCAACACCAACCAGAGGCTGACTTGATCTGGTTATTGTAGCTTGACTTTCTGGGTGGATCCATGATAAAATCTACAATAAGATTTTTTATATTATAAAAATGAGATCCATGAAATAGATTTAGTTAGAATGTAAACATCAAGCAAGTAATGTTATTAAGCATTCTAAATCATTGTGTTTTGTCCAATTAAAATATTTTATCAATTGCATTCCCAAAATATAAAATTTAGAAGAACAAAGACATGCTGACTATTTCTATTTTTGTAGTTCCTATAAATTTTGGTTCCCTTATCAAATACTATAGTCACCATCATGTAAAATTGGACAAAGGGTTTTCATCAAACATTTTTAAACTATCAATCACGCTCATTCAAGATGACTTTTTTCACGTAGCAGAATATAAAATGTATTTAAAAAAATAAACTGTTGACACAGAGATATGTCTCACCTGTTGGCATGAAATTCAGAAAAAGACATTCTGATGGACAGCAACATTTATTAATTCAGTTGCTTAACCATTATCTAGTGGGCAGGGTTACTGGACTATGACCTAGGGGACAGGGCCTTGAAATAGTCATCAAATTGATATGTACTGATAGTAATTCAACTTTATATCAAATATCAATGATCTATCACAATTAGTTCCTATCAAACTAACTTAAGCAGAAAACTTTACAATTGTTGACAGCGTCGCTGCAGCCGTCGCCAGAAAAGCAATCCTTATGTCTCGCTTTCCACGACTTTCTCTGCAGGCTAGATAAAACTATAGTCCTACTTTTTATTGTAATTGCACTGTATAATCCTGGCGTAATGCTTGATAGTTTAACAATGTTTTATCAAAAACCAGGGTCCAATTTTACATGACAGCAACCATATTTAAAACTTTTTATCAACACTTCAACTTCACAAATGTTTGTTGAAAATTTTCATGTCACAAGAAAAAACATTGACATCACAATGTTAAAGTGATTGTTTTATACATAATGTCACTACGACAAGCTTTGCAAAATCCCAAATAGCAATAAATACTAACGCATGACCTAACATATGAGAAAAATTATCTACCTATAATTGGGATCCTAATAGAAGGTTATAACTTTTTACATATCTTTGGGAATGAGAAACATGATTGGTGCCAAGGGTCCACAACAAATAAGGTAATTTTTATAGGCAAAAAATCTGGAATACTGTCATATTCATACCAGACAAGTGAACCTCTATCAACAATGGCTGCATGAACTGCATGAAATTTCATACCAGGTTTTGTAAAAGATTTAAGAATAATATTTGAATTGCAACAGTTTACAGCTGCATTGATTTTTAATAATAATTTGAAACTGAAAATTCCTAAGGAATTGATCATACTACAATCATTATTGAGAAATCGGAAGCTTTCAGGCTGATTATAAATTATGAATGAAATCCAATTTACAATACAGATTTCCCTTGATTGGGGCAACTATTGGTGCAGGAACTGCTCTTCCATCTGAATCACCTGAGTTCACATGTTTAAGATAAGTTTGTGGTCTTTAGTTTTCAGTGCAGTTTTTTTATGACTCTTAGTTGTCTTTTTGTGGTTTTCCATATTGAAATTGCTTGTCTGTTTTGTCTAACATGTAGGCCTGAGCTGCCTGCATAGTTGTGGTCAACTAATAATTGCAAATGACCATAAAAAGGCCAAAGTATAATAAATTAGTGTTGCTGGGTTTTTTCTCATTGACATTTAACCCAAAATTCCTTAAATTGATATGTAAATGTAAATAACCCACTTACTGGTAATCTTCCTCTGCTTCTAAATGTAGCCACCTGTCTGATGTCATCATCTGTGGCAGCCTGGGGTGTTACTATCTAAAAATAAATAACACATAACATTGTTTATTATTAATTGGACTGATTATAAATAAACTCATCAAAGATACCAGGATTATAATTTTGTACGCCAGACGCACGTTTCATCTACAAAAAACTTCAGTGACGCTCAGAAAAGTTCAAAGGCTAATGAAGTAATGAAGTATGAAATTGAAGAGAATTGATAACCAAAAATTTCAAAAAGTTTTGCCAAATACAGCTAAGGGCTTCTATTGCTGGGGTACAATATAGCCTTACTTGATAAATGGTTAACAGAAATCTCACCATGTAAAACTCAATTGAAGAGGTTTGATACAATAGGTCAAACCAAATATCTTTAAAATTTGTTTTTGTTGCTTCTCTGCTTAGAATGTGACAAGTAGAACTGGGCATAAAAACAATCATCTTTGATTAAGACTTATATCTATGGCCAATGCAAAAATTGTTAAGGTTAGAAATGTGCTACAATTATTTAAATCTGAATGATGAAAAAGTATTCAAATTCACAAGTGATTCTATAAATAATAAAACAAATATCTTACAATACTAGGATATGTTTCACACAATTCATATCGTTCATTTATTCTGTTTATCTTCCAACTATCATTTGTAAGGCCCTGCAACAACAAAAATATACAAATTTACAGTCAATCAACAGTATAAAACAATCAAAGTTCACTATACGTCTACAGGGAAACAACATAACATTAAAGTTCACTATAGGTCTACAGGGAAACAACATAACATCACAGTTCACTATAGGTCTACAAGGAAACAACATAACATCACAGTTCACTATAGGTCTACAGGGAAACAACATAACATCAAAGTTCACTATAGGTCTACAGGGAAACAACATAACATCAAAGTTCACTATAGGTCTACAGGGAAACAACATAACATCACAGTTCACTATAGGTCTACAGGGAAATAACATAACATTACAGTTCACTATAGGACTACAGAGAAACAACATAACATCAAAGTTCTCTGTAGGTCTACAGGGAAACAACATAACATCAAAGTTCTCTGTAGGTCTACAGGGAAACAACATAACATCACAGTTCACTATAGGTCTACAGGGAAACAACATAACATCAAAGTTCACTATAGGTCTACAGGGAAACAACATAACATCACAGTTCACTATAGGTCTACAGGGAATCAACATAACATCACAATTCACTATAGGTCTACAGGGAATCAACATAACATCACAGTTCACTATAGGTCTACAGGGAAACAACATAACATCAAAGTTCACTATAGGTCTACAGGGAAACAACATAACATCACAGTTCACTATAGGTCTACAGGGAATCAACATAACAACACAGTACACTATAGGTCTACAGGGAAACAACATAACATCACAGTACAATCATATTCATATGATGAAGACATAATTTTTCAATCAGTTTAATTGAGGTCTGGAGCTGGCATGTCAGTAACTGCTAGTAGTCCTTTGTTAATTCATGGTGATCATTGTCATTTTGCTTAATTTCTTCTGTTACCTATTCTGAAATCAGACTCAGACTTCTTTTAAACTGAGTTTTACTGTGCATATTGCTGTGTGTTTTGTTTATTCTACATTGGCTAGAGGTATAGGGGGAGGGTGGAAATCTCACAAAAATTGTTTAACCCCGCCGCATTTTTGCGCCTGTCCAAATTCAGGAACCTCTGACCTTTGTTAGTCTTGTATGTTTTTTTATTTAAATTTTGGTTCATTTATATGTTTCAGAGTTGAGTGTGACGTCCATTATCACTGACCTAGTACACATTTTTGTTTAGAGGCCAGTCGAAGCCCTCCTCCGGGTGCGGGATTTTCTCGCTGTGTTGAAGACCTATTTGTGGCCTTGGGCTGTTTTCTGTTCTTTGGTCGGGTTGTTGTCTCCAACACATTCCCCGTTTCGATTCTCAATGAAGGGATATATGTGACAGGAGTAGATTTAAAAAGACTTTAAAATAAAGATATTGAAAACCTGTCATGAAAACATTATCCACATTTACTCCTAACTAATAATCAATGAAACTGGAATAGAAAAGACAAAATCCAAAAATACACTTACTTATATATTTGGAAGATAAGACCAATTATTAACGAATTTAAGGCTTAAGCAGTCATTTTGATCTTAACATAAGTCTGAAAATTGACTGAAACCCTGAACAAACCTTAATAATTTATTGTTCAGTCGTTTAATTAAACTGATATGTTACTTATTTTAACAATCACCTGTCTTTTGTACTCTGCTATTGGGTCATATACTTTCCATCCGTCTTCACCATAATCTTCTTTGAATTCAAAGGCAAATAATGGCTGAAATATATCAAATGCTTACTTCATCATTAAGGTCAATAATGTTTATCATTTATTTCAAATTTGCTAATTATTTTTGACAGAAAAGGTGTATTTATGTACCCATATTTCATGAATTTAGTCTTGCAAGTAGTTGATCAAGTAAAACTTTGAAACATCATAAAATCCAACATTTGTTAATGCCTTTGATCTGTGATATATATTGTTTTCTGCTAAGATGATAAAAAGCTACCATACAAAATCTGCTTTTCTGCAATCCTGACAAAATCAAATTTGGCGCATTGTATAGTACAAAAGGACTAAGCTGTTGTAATTAATGAAGAAAGATTGAAGACATATTTACCTGTTTGATTGTTATAGGAAAGGTCAACTTTTGTATTTAATGAAGAAAGAGATTGAAGATATATTTACCTGTTTGTTTGGTATAGCAAAGTTCAACTTTTGTATTTAATGAAGAAAGATTGAAGACATATTTACTAGGGATGTCAACGAATACTCGAGTATTCGAGTATCGCTTGGTAGAATTGAGTATTGAATACCAAAGCGATAGTTGACTAATCAGTTTCCTGTAAAATATTGCTGACTTTTTTATATAAATTGATCTTCTTAAGAACCTCTTTCCGAAATTGAAATAGGCATCACAGATTACTCATAATAGTAAATGAAATACATTTTGTTTCGAATGCTTGTGCTAAGTTGTCATTTAAAATGCCTCCAAAAATATGTGGGCTATACCTAGGCTTACACTTTAAACTAAACATGTCTGCAAGACTGTAATTTACAAAGTAGCAAAACCAACTGTCCCCAATAATAGTTGACAAGAAAATGTTTCTAAATAAAAAATTCCATGCATCCTATGGAGACCTTCAGTGAATAGTTAAACTTCTAACCCCTACTCCTTTGTAAACTTCTTCTTCTTAGTATCAGCCTCCTTTAATTAGGAGCACCTCCAAATATATATGGAGTTTTGCCTTAACTTTAAAATTTAAAAGGATAAAACAAAAATGTTCTTTTTCCAACATATGTACAGCACATATAAATTAAAAATAAAAGTGTCATGCAAGGCATATTTACATGGACCTTTTTGTTATAAATTAATCTACCATACAAGTAGATTCACTTACATGTATGTATGTATCTCAGTTTTATTTATAATTAAAAATATGTTTCATTTGAATTTGCTTTTTAATATGCATAAAAGATACATTAAAAGGAGGTTTTATTTAATAAGATCTATGTATTAAAATAATAAGTTAAGATGTAAGAATTTAGTAAAATCTAAAAAGGCAGGTTTTCTCAGTGGAATATTATATGTACTTCATGATCAATGTATATAAAAATCATAATAAAGTAATAGAAGCTTGATTTGTCACCATCAGTAAATTTAAAAGGATATATACATGATATGGACCCTATCATAAATGTATTAGTGAGTTAAAAGATAGGAATGCTTATTATTTATTTAAATTTCTTACAATTATTAAATGACAGACATGAAATGTGTTTTCTTAACCATTACCCAATACTATTGTTTGATATGGTTTTTCCTTGTTATAATTTTTAAATAGGTGTTCATTAGATTATATTGATCAGATTATTGTTTTTTACTTAATTAGTACTTGTAGGTAATGAGCTATTTATTATGGTGTGTATTTCTTTGTCCTAGATACTTATGTAGATACTTTTTGTTCGTTTAACAACAAACCACAGAATGTAAAATTTGTTTTTTTGTGTTTCCATGTTGTAGATATATTCCCGAGCGAGTACTCTAGTATCGCTCGATAAAACCAAGGAGTACTTGATTAGTAATTGTTCACCAAGTTGAAATCCCTAATATTTACCTGTTTGTTTGTTATAGGAAAGGCAAACTGTTGGATCTTCTCAAAAACTTGTCTTCTTGAATGATTTTCTTGTTTGTGTGCAAATCTTAAATTTCTAATGTCCTGTTAAATAAAAGTTTGTACAGTATATATTTTCACATGAAAAAGTATAAACACTTTAGCCATTTCCATTTTTCATTTTATATGATTAAAAAATTAGGAAAAAGGTCATTTTTCTAACAAACAAAATTATCTTTTACTAATCCTAACACAATGTTAAAATAAACATATGATGTAAAAGCAAACTGCAGTTTTCAAATGAATGTGGGAGATGACTATTTCTTCAATGTTTTGGGGTTACACTAATGACAGGACGATTGGCCGGATATTGACCAGATGAGATATAAATGGTCATAACTTTTTAGGTATTTGGTAGATTTTTTTTACATTTGAAGACCTTTGAGATACTTAACTATATTTTATGAAAATCTAAAAAAAAAATTAAAAAAAAAGATTTTTGAGCAAAAATGTTTGACCGGACGAATTTCGCAGTCGCCGATGTACGCTTTGAAAATATCAAACTTTTTATCTTTTTTGTTTTACAATATTTTTTCATGAAATTAAGATATCTGCAAGATACACATAGTATAGAAAAATATAAACTTTATATTAAATTTTTTTTTTTTTTCTAAAGTTATGACCATTTATATCTCATCCTGTCAATCGTCCTGTCATTAGTGTGACCCAATGTTTTGTAAATCTAGAATAACTGATGTATGTACAAAATGTAGTAGATTTTGCATTTCTATGCTTTATTGTGTATTACAAATAATAATATAATTAGCATTTTTATGAGAAACCTTGCAAATCAGGTCAATTCCATAGGAATTCTCTCCCCTGCTAGTGGCACCACCTATCTTCTCAATTTTACTTATCACACCTAGTGGTACATCTAATATAAATAACGATTCCTGAAAATGTTTAAGAGAAATGTATAAGGATTATTGCAAATATTCAAAGGTAAATAAAAACATTGTTAAAAGTATATTACATGTACGTGAGCACTAACTAAAGATATATATATCATATCTACATTACATGTATGTAAGGTCGGTATCATATCTACAATCAGACTTTGACAAATAACAATACACCATAAATCATGCGTATATTTACCAAGTTACATGAAAATGACCAATTTTATTATATTGGTACAAAACAACTATAATAATAAGGAGATTAAGTATGACATGTATGATTGCCAATGAAACTTCTATCCACCAAATGATGTTCATAAAATATTCATTTCGCTCTCTTTATCTATTTCAAGGGTTCATTTTAGTCCAAATACAACCAAACAAAAAGATATCTAGGAATTGAAATGTGGACAATGGGGCAATGAAAAGGGAAACAAAGGCACATACAACAAATGTAAGCACACCATAAATTCTTCAACAATAAAATGAAATCATTCTATATACACTGTATTTAATGTATGTTATTTTATAATATTAAATGTATGCTACAATCAGATATAAGCATTTCATTTTTATATCTAATAGACCTTTAAACACACACTTAAAGTTTTATTACTAATCTTACCCTTTCACTGCTTTTAAAGTACAACTTGTAATTGGTGACTGTCAGCGCTCCTTTTATTGGTCCATTGTAGGGACATAAATATGTCACATCTCTTCCTGGTAAACAAAAGTAGTAAAATTATTACTCTGTAATCATAGTTTTTTTTAATAGAAACTGGTTTTTTTCTTCTGTCAAACATTTACACAGTTACCACTCTTTTCCATTTAATTAATGGCAAATAATTAAATAGCAGTTAGTCAAACGTTTGGCTGCTTCCTGGGTTGACTATTCAATCCATTTAACTATAAGGACTAAAGAGTAATAAATCAAATTAACTTATTTTTAATATCAAATAAAAAAAAATAAATGGGCAATGTGTCCGTGGGACACAGATGATGCCCCCACTTGCATATAACGCTATAAAGGGACATAACTCAATAACTGTAAAAGTGACGCTACCCAAATTTGTACTTGATCTGAATTTTGTGGTAATAAGCACTGATTATAAGTTTCATAACATTTGGTTGAGGCAAACTTCAGTTAGAGAACGAAAACGAAAAATTCAGCAATTTTTCCATTTGTAAAGCGGCATAACTCTAGAGCAGTAAAAGTGATGCCACCAAAATTTGAACTTGATCTGTGTTTCGTGGTAATTAGCATTGTGCATAAGTTTCATAACATTTTGTATAGGCAAACTAAAGTTAGTGAACAGCAATGAATATTTCAGCAATTTTTCCATGTAAAGGGGCATAACTCTAGAACGATAAAAAAGTGTCGCCACCAAAATTCAAACTTAATATGTGTCTTGTGGTAATAAGTATTGTGTATAAGTTTCATAATATTTGGTTGAGGCAAACTAAAGTTAGACCTTTGACCTATAATGGTTTACTTTTATAAATTTTGACTTGGATGGAGTGTTGTCTCATTGGCACTCATACCACATCTTCTTATATCTAATTAGAGAACGGAAACGAAAAATTCAGCAATTTTTCCATTTGTAAAGGGGCATAACTCTAGAACGGTAAAAGTGACACCACCAAAATTCAAACTTGATTTGTGTTTTGTGGTAATAAGCATTGTCTATAAGTTTCATAACATTTAATTGAGGCAAACTAAAGTTAGAGAACGGAAACCAATTTTGATATGTACGTATGTACAGATGGACAAGGGTAAAACTTAATGCCCCCTCCGCTACGGCAGGGGCATAAAAACATCCTTTGACTTTATCTTGAAACAGGAATGAAATAGCAATAAAAAACTTGTACATTTTGATTTCCACATAAACAAGGATCTAAATCAAGGTAATCAATCAGTCACTAAGAATTAAACTGGTATTCTTGATCAATAATGACACAACATGAACAAAGCAAACATTGACCAGAAACAGAAGCTAGAATATACAAATGTATACAGTATGCATTCAAAATTTCTGTCATGCAACAGCAAAAAAGGCACTCCTAATTGAATAAAATGCTCCGCTGGGGCGCAGCTTGATACGACCGCAGAGGTCGAACCCTGAACAGTTGGGGCAAGTATGGACACAACATTCAAGCTTGATACAGCACTGAATTTGGATTGTAATTAAATATTTGACACAGCATAGGTTTCTGACACAGAATGAAAGTGGTCTAAGAACTTAAAAATTTTCAATTTACCTATTCATACATGTGATGGACTGTGAAACTCAGATCAGGAGATTGGGAAATTTTGGTCAGGAGATTAGGACTCAGATCAGGAGGTTTTTAATCGACATTAATTTTGTTGTAAATGTAACCGTGTGCTGTAAAAATGGTCTTTTAAAGTGTGTTTTCTTCAACTTTCCAACCAATTTATTATGTTTATAGTACCCTTGTACTTATAAAGTTTCTCCATCTTTATATTCTACATGTTCAATCTAACATTGTTTTTTTCCAGTATGTTCTTCAAATTTTTTACTTCATATTCTATAAAACAATCATTGCAACCAGAACATTTGTTTAGCTGTCTGCAAATAGTTTTTATTTTTTTTTTTCTCTTGCAAATAGTTTTTATTTGCAAACTCAGAAATTCATTCTATCTGTAAAGTTAGGGTCATAGTTATTATATAAATTTCAATTTAAGCCTTAAAAGGAAGTATAGAATCCTCAAATAATTTTCAAATTATTATTTTTTTATTTGTCCTAAGACATTTAAAATCATTTAATAACCATCCTTTTATGATTATTTGTTCAATTTATATTTTATTTATATTCTTTTAAAAATTTTCATTATTAAAAGGAAAGTAACTTAAAACAGGATAAATCAAGGGAAGTAACCCAATAAATACACAGTTTTTGTTACACAACGGCAGTTAGCCTGAGGTAAAAATCGTTGCTTACCAGTATGTTTGACACCCAAGCTGACAAGTGAAGCCATATAATTATGCATGTTAATTGATTTACAGGTAAAATATAACTTCAGGTAATGTCAGTTACACCAGATGCCTGAGATGTTATGTTGGGCAGAAATTTTTCATTCATGAAAAATTTCATACACAGGATTTTTTCAACGGGAGGGGGGAGGAGACCCCTGAAAACGGGATTATTGTACTCCCGTCGGGAGGTTCACATGTATGCCTATTCAAACCATATCATTATTATTTGCTTTTATATATAAATCAGAAATAACCAATTTAAAATGGAAAATGTTAAAGAAAAAATAGGAAAAAAAAAATCCCCCCCCCCCAATTTTTTGAACCCCCTTATGATTCATCGCCCCCAAACTCAATCCCAGCTTTCCCTTTGTGGTATGGTACCTTGCAGTACAATTTCAGAGAGATTCATACACTTGAACACAAGTTATTGTCTGGAAACTAGAAAAATGCTTGTTTTTTGGCCCCTTTTTGGCCCCAAATTCCTAAACGTTTAGGGCAATTTCCCCCAAACTCAATTCCAGCTTTCCCTTTGCGATATGGAACCTTGCAGTACAATTTCATAAAGATCCATACACTTACACACAAGTTATTGTCCTGAAACTAGAAAAAAATGCATGTTTTTTTTGCCCTTTTATGGCCCCTAATTACTAAAATTTTGAGGGAAAACCCCCAAAATCAATCCCAGCCTTCCCTTTGTGATATGGAACCTTGTAGTACAATTTCATAAAGATCCATACACTTACAAACAAGTTATTGTCATGAAACTAGAAAAATGCTAGTTTTTTGCCCCTTTTTGGCCCCTAATTCCAAATATTTGGAGGAAATCACCCCAAAAATCAATCCCAGCATTCCCTTTGTGATATGGAACCTTGTGGTACAATGTCAGAGAGATCCATACACTTACACACAAGTTATGTCTGGAAGTTACAAAAATGCTTATTTTTGGCCCCTTTTGGCCCCTAATTCCTTAACTGTTAGTACCATAACCCCCAAAATCAATCCCCACCTTCCTTTTGTGGTATTGAACCTTATGGTAAAATTTCAATGAGATCCATTCACTTAAACTTAAGTTAGAGTGCGAAAACTAATGTGTATTCGGACGACGACGCCGGACGACGACGCCGGACGACGACGACGACGACGACGACGACGACGCCAACGTCATACCAATATACGACCACAAAAATTTTTTTGCGGTCGTATAAAAATTAAATAGTGGAATAAATTAATGTATTATCTGGTTGTAAAAAAGCTTTTCACAAAAGTTATAATTATTCAGTTGTATTGAAGTTTTTTAACCTTCTGAAAACAAAACATGCATAGGACAGGACCAACAGGGCAGAGGGAACCTGTGATCCTTTTTTGGGGGCTAGCTAGGAGATTGTTAAATACAAAAATAACTGTATATTCTGAGAAAGCCAGTTTACCTATTCCTGTGACCCTCTATTTGGGGCTAGCTAGCACATTGTTTAGTACAAAAATAACTTCATATTCTTAGAAAACCAGTTTACCTATTCCTGTGACCCTCTATTTGGGGCTAGCTAGGACATTGTTAAGTACAAAAAATAACTGTATATTCTTAGAAAGCCAGTTTACCTATTCCTTGAATTAGCTCTCCCCCAAGTAATGGTGGTTCATCTGACTGTGATACTTTGGCACTATCTCTTAAAATCTGAAATAAAACACAAATGTTGATTTTACCTAAATATTGATCAACTAAACTGAATGTAAATTTGTACCCTAAACATTTTAATTTAGATGTCTACTACAGACTGATATATTAGGGGGGGTAGGAGGGGTCCTGATCCCAAAATCCCGGGCTTAAAAACAAGGAATCCCGAGGTCCCGAATTTAAAAAAATTTAAATCCCGACATCCCAAAATTCGAAAAAAGAATTCCCGGATCCCGAAAGGATCAATCCCAAAATCCCGAGCTTAAAAACACCAGATCCCGGAGTCTTGATAAAGGTCCTAACCACCCCCCCCCCCCCCCATATATGCCTTCTATTCAAATCTTACCTGTGTGACAGGATTGCTTCCCTTAGTATGTGTAGTAGATACTTAGTCGTAAGCGGTTGAGCTAAGGAAGTACTTCTTTAGCTCAGTCAGTTAGAGAGCTGCCTTGTATCACAGAAGTCCCAGTTCGAGTCCCATTGGAGACAAAGTGATTTTGTAATGAAAATTATGCTCTCTGGTTACATTTGGTGCCCAACTAAAAAACCCACTGTGGTTAGAGAGGATTTCTAGCCAGGGTATGTGTTGTTTAATTCATAATGGTATGATGACTCTTGAGTTGGGGGAAGGGTGACAGGATTGATTCCCTTAGTACATGTGGTAGATACTTAAGTCAGCCGTAGGCGGTTGAGATAAGGAAGTACTTCTTTAGCTCAGTCCATTAGAACACTACCTTGTAACACAGAGGTCCCAGTTTGAGTACCAGAGGAGAAAAAAGTGATTTTGTAATGAAAATCATGCTCTCCAGTTACACCTGCTTCAGGTACATGTATAAGAAATGGGCTGTTGGCTTAAAAAAGGCACTCATTCGAGGTGAAGTAGTTTATAAAATATTTCCCAAATATCTAGTTAATAGGGCTTGATAAAATATTTCCTGAATAGAGTTAACATGGTTTGATAAGGGATTCTGAGAGCAGCCAAATCAGAAAACCGCTCCTGACATAAGGGATTCCACTGTAATACTTCTTCTTCAGTTACAGCAAGGATTTTTATAGTAAGACCACAGGCACTTGTTTCTATCCATGGGAAGAACCACTATCAAAGTATATTTAGGAGCCTAATATACGTTGATAGTGGTTCTTCCCATGGATAGAAACAAGTGCCTGTGAGTAAGACTATACAAATCCTTTGTTTTAGAAAACCATCAACATACTCAGTGATTTTGCTAGCGCTCGTCATTTTCGTCATTTACAAAACGGTTTTCAAAATGACGAAAGTATTCCAAATCAATTTCGTCACTTAATTTTGGAAAGAGTAAAAATATTTTCGCATGAAAATACTATAATTCTACCTGTCTTATTGTTTCTGACAAGTTTATGACCCTCAGCTAATTAACATTTACAACAGGTGTTATAAGTTGTGATTACAGATAATCCGCTTATCGCCATCAGATGGGTCACTAATCCGTTAATTATTTATCAACCTCAAAATTGATCATCAATATATTTTTTTCCCCAGTAAAATCAGTTAGTCGGCATTTCAATTTCAATATTTATCACACGAGCACAATTTGCAGTTCGTTTGTCGTAGTTTCGTCATTTCAGTTTTCCCTCGGACAGTTCGCATTTTAATTTCAATATTTCTCAAACGATCACAATTTGCAGTTCGCTTGTCATAGTTTTGTCAAATGAACGTATTTTCGTCATATGATGAACTGCGCATGCGCGAAAGTATTCGAGTGTGTATATTTTGCTGGTTGCGGGTTGTGGGTTGCGGGTTGCGGGTTGCGATGTATAGTCAGTTGAACAATAAAGATAGAAGAAAAAAATCACTAAAACATTGATACACATAGATAAAATGTGTGAGAATGTGTACGTTATTATAAACAAACTTTCCCAGGTAAGGGGGAGGTTTTGGATCCCGCTAACATGTTTAACCCCACCACATTCTGTATGTATATGTGCCTGTCCCAAGTCAGGAGCCTATAATTCAGTGGTTTTCATTTGTTTATGTGTTACATATTTGTTTTTCGTTCATTTTTTGTACATAAATTAGGCCATTAGTTTTCTCGTTTGAATTGTTTTACATTGTCATTTCGGGTCCTTTTATAGCTGACTATACGGTATGTGTTTTGCTCATTGTTGAAGGCCATACGGTGACCTATAGTTGTTAATTTCTGTGTCATTTGGTCTCTTGTGGAGAGTTGTCTCATTTGCAAACATACCACATCTTCTTTTTTATATTTCAGTGATTTATTACTGGTCAATATATCAGAAAATAAATATCAAATATCAAAACCAAAAAGATCACTTATTTTAGTATTGATAAAAAGTAAAAATTGTTAACCACCTAGGCCAGTGCTCTAGAAAAATCACGCAAAGCAAGTGTACGAAAGGGAACTTTTCAGGAAGAAAATTCAAATTACATGATTTCTTAAATTTCCCTGAATTAAGTGGATAATAAAAATAGTGATCGTATTTGAACAGATTTTTTTTGTAATTCAAGTAATTAAAAAGTGTCCAAAGATTGCTATGATTTTTATCATATGATTCTAGATCATCTCAATGTCATATTTGTTATGTGCATTTTGCATTCAGACCTTAAACTATAGTTATGTGCAAAAACATTGATTTGTTTTAATGTATATAGTTATATTAAAGATATATATATATTTATACTTTACTTCCTATTTGTTTTTGTTTCTTCTTTTTCTACTTTTCTTTAGATAAAACATGATGTTAATTGAATAATTCTAGATGATTAGCCAGATTTACCAAATTTTAAAGGTCAGAAATTTATTGTGTGAACTATCAAACTTTAGGATAGATTTATTGGTTTTAGTGACAGATTTCTTCAGACAAAATTTTATATAACAAGTTTAATTGTTTCAAATGAAGGATTTATGTTCTTCTGTCCAAACTAATTAAATAAAAGTAAAGTAGATGCAATAGTTATGTACAATTCAGCATCCCTTTGCATATATATAAAAGACCTTTCATCCTCAAAATAAAAATGAAATAATTTTATAAAGTACCGAAACTTAATGAAAGAGGAGCCATAGAACATACAGCAAGTGTATACAAAGTGTCTTTACAAGAAAGAAGAGAAAAGTTATCGGTAAGTAAATAATTATATGTTTAAAATTATATATATAATGTCAGATAGAATTTGTTCAAAATTCACTATTTTGATTAATATATTTTTTAATTATGTTTTATGGTCAGACAATTTATCTTACTAAACTTGAGAAACAAATAAAGGTTTAAAACAAAATCAAATAAAAGTTTAAAACAAAATCAAATAATGTATAATTTTCTTAATTTGTGATAATTTTACCAAAAAAAAACAGAAAGAATTTAGTTTTCATTTTCTAGACAAAAGTCATCTTCCTTCAATATTCTTTCTTTTATTTTTTAAAAAATTAGATAGTTTTTTTTTTAATTTGTTTTCATTTTGTATATGCCCATTTATCCGTTTTTATGTCGGTCGTCAAAATTACTAAAAAAAACGCTTTAATCAATTTGGATGAAAGTCTGGTGAATTGTTTTTATCTATTGTAAGTTCCATTACGATTTATATAAATTTTTCATTATACATTTCAGAGTAAGTAATGTGATTTTTTCATTAAAAAGGGGGAATTTACAGGTTTTCGTACAATAACTCATTAATGCTTTGAGCAGTTTTCATGAAACTTTTGTGACTGGTTTAAATCTATTAAAATGACCTCCCTTTAGTTTGTTTTATTTATTTCTGATATGACATGGAAAGCGAATGGCTTACCAATTAACTTTCAACCAATTAGTATATAAATTTTTAAGTAACTTTGAATTTTAATTAAAAAAAAAAATTAGATAGTGCAAACAGGCAAGGGTAAAACTTAATGCCTCTGCATTGATGAGAGCCTAAAATGTGCCAAAATTTACAAGTTGAAGAAAAACTTAAATCTTTGTAAACTCAATTAACTAAATTAAGAGTAAAGTTTGTAATTAAATCATCAATTCTGAAAATTTGAGATTACCGGTAGCTTAAAAAACTGTGACGAAAATTAAGAAGAAAATAGGAATAAGTCTTAGTTTAAGATGAGTTGTGAACTTTTTATTAAGACCAGAAAAGCAATGACTTTTATAAAAATAATGTTGATAAACATGATCAAGGAACATCGAATGGTATTTATAGTTTTGAAGATGATATTTTTTTTACAGAATCCGTGAAGAAGAAAAGTACAAAGTTTCAAGAAAATGGGACCTGAAAGGTAAGTTTGTGTTCTTCCTATAGCCTTTACCTAACCTTCTGTAAGCATTAAATACACACATGAGGGTGTTACTCTGATTTGTTGTGTCTACATTTTTAATTTACCCCATCATAATATGGTTACTTCATAATGATATAGCTTTGCATTGTTTAGGAGGGTGTTCTTTAAGCAGTTTAAACTTAATTCATGTTAAAGCAGACAAATGCAGCATATCAATTTTCCTTTAATGACACTTTGATGTAAATACAAATAAATTGCATATTTTGATTTTTCTGTAGAAAATTTATGAGGTACCATATAGTTTGTAAATGTATCTTAATGGAATTGCCTTTGCAATGTTTAGTATTGATACACTATTATTCTTTTCTGTGCCACATGGTCTATAATTAAGTCAGTGCTACAGCAAAATAATCCCAGTAAAATGCTCTGATGGGCGCAGCTTGATATGACCGTAGAGGTCGAACCCTGAAAAGTTGGGCAATATGGAAGACAACATTCAAGTTAAATACAGCTCTGAATTTGGATTTGCATTAAATATTTGACACAGCATACGTTTCTGACACGTAATTAATGTGGTCTTAGAACTTACAAATTTGAAATTGGATATATACGTATCATGGTCCAATATCCAAAATCTAAATGATAGTTAGATTAATTCAGCATATACAAAAAAGAATTCAATTTTTATATGCCCGTCAAAATTTTGACGGAACGTATTATGGTATACAAATGTCCGGCGTCCGTCTG